AAAAAAAAAAAAAAAAACGAATAAACAGTTTATTCGTTTCCCCCCCCCCCATAAAAAAATAGATAAATTAGAAAAAAAATTAATATGTAAATAAAAACCCACCATATAAAAAAAAAAGATAAAACGAAATTCCCCCATTCCATTATTTATAAAATGAAATCATAAAGAAAAATAATTGCAAAGTTCAAAAATGCGGATTTGGGATCATCCCAATCACTTGAAACAAAATTTTCGGTGCTTTTTACTATAACGAAAATAATTCAAATAAATGTTCCATTTTTTTTTTTTTTAAAATATTATTTTTAAAATGATGATATAAGAAATAAATTTTATTTTATTTAAATAGCGAGAATTGAATCTTTGCAGTTTTCCTTTTTTTTTTTTTAAAATAATTATTTTTAATATTACACCTTAAAAATAAATCAAATCAGTATGGATTATAAGGAAAATTTGAAATTTCGCATCTTTTTCTGCAGAAAAAAAAAAAAAAAAAAAGAAAAAAAAAAATAAGAAAATGAAAGACTTGTTATAATAATAAAAATATACAATGTATGGTTTAAAGATATTTTTTTAATCAGGGAGAATATAATATTATATAATTTTTTATATAATAAAAAATCACAATACATTATTCGCGGTGCTAATTCTATCATGTCTAAATTATAAAAAAGTAGAGGTATACCTTTGCTCATGTATTGCCTAAAATAATAATAAAAAATAAAAATAAAAATAAAATAAAAAAAAGAAAAAATGTTTTAAAATATATATATATGAAACATGGTCTTCAATCATTTTTATTTTTAAATTTATGAAAAAAAAGAAAAAATGTTGAAAATAATTAAAATTGTTGATTTAGACAAAATCACTTTTTTTTTTTTGTGCTTATTTAAAAATGTTTCATTTACAGATGTTCTAAAAGGTTCCTGGTGTGGTTTTTTTTTATTTTATTTTTTTGAATCCAAAGAATTTTTTTAAAATCATTTTTTTTATTTTTTTTATACATAAATAAAAAGGGGAAAATAATATTAATAATAATAATTTGAAAAAAAAAACAATGAAAAATAATTTTGTTGCTAAAAATAACGGGGCCAAATTTTGATCTTGTTTTGTAAAAAAACAAAAAAAAAAATTAAAAAAAAAAAAAGCAGATGGTGATCTATCATTGACGGTTGTATAAAAAAATAAAAATTAAAAAAAAATGAAAAAAAAAAAAAAATTTGAAAAAAGTAAAAATTAAAATGAAAATTCACAGGCATGTCTATCAAAGCGTGTGGTCTATCAAAATAAAACATTTTTATGTGTAAAAAATATTTTGATTCAATCAAAAAGGTTTTGTCTTTTTTATGAAATTTAAAATAAAATATAAATATTTTGAAATAGTAAACAAATGTTTTCTTTTTCATTTTATTAATTTATATAAAAATAAAAAAAAAAAAAAAAAAAAGAAAACGATGGTTTTAATTTTTTTTTTTTTTTATTTTTTTTTTTTCTAATCATTTAGTAGTAATACCAAATATCCAAAAATAAAAATAAATAATAATAAATAAAATAAATAATAAAATTATATATATAATAAATAAAAAAAAAAAAATAAAAAAAGTTTTTTTTTTTTTTTTTTTGGTTTTAACATTTGTAAATAGATCAATAATTAAAAAATAATTAAAAAATAGAAAAATAAATACAATCTAAATTAATTTTTAGGAGTTTGTTGTAAATAGAATAAATTTTATTTTTTATTTGGTTTTTTATTTATTTTGATAATCAAAATATTATTAGAAATAGTCTATATATACACATAAATACATACATACATATAATAAAATGAAGTTTTTCAAGATGTTTGAAATGGAAAGCTTCCAATCCAAATTAGATGGAATGAAGAAGAGTTTAAGAGCACAAATATTTATATTGACCTTGATTGGTTGGGCCGTGGCACTATCAATTGACAGAACGATAGTGAATGACTATAGAATAGATGCAGATAATAAATATAGTAACGAAGACGACTTTTTAGCACATCAAGATTTGATTAGATCTAGATCGGACAAGATAGCCCTCACAATATTAGCAGTTTTTGAAACCCTATTATTTGGTTTAGGTATTGGGTTTTTTGTGGCTGTTGGTTTCAGAGTTTTTAAAATTCGTAATAATATGTTAAGAAAAAGAATGGTAATTATTAATTAAATATTTATAAATAAACAAAAAAAAAAAACCGCGTGATGTCATAAATTTCGTTTTATTTATTTTTATTAATTTATTTTTTAATTTTTTAATTTTTTAGATTTGGTGTTGGGGCTGTATTTCATTTTTTATGATTAGTTGGTGGCCACACAGTACATCACATTCATTAGTTTTATCATCATCTGGAAATCATTACGATAATTATATTGCAATCGAAGTTTCATTTCATTGGACCATATTGTTTTGTTCATTAACATTATCATTCTTCCAATATGATTTAATTTTGTTAATGTTTGAAGTTGCAATGATGAAAAAGAAAATGGAAACAAGAAAAGAGTGCAATCCATTGAAAATGGATTGGAAATACAATTTCAAATATCATGCTCTCGTATTCTTATTTTTATTTTTTTCTGGTGGTTTAGTTATAATGTTTGTATTTGACGAATTAAAGAGTGATATGGAACCATACCAAAAATTCTTTTTTATTACATTTAAGGTAAGTAAATTTATACGTGGTGTTTATATTAAAATTATACTAATAAAGGTTTATTATTTTTTTTTTATAGTTGGTTGATTCAATTATTTTAGGATGTGCAGCTGCTTTTACATATATTGCTTCTAGAATTATTTATTTACTTCCACCAAGTAATGGTAAAAAAGTTGCTATTATTTCATCATTCTGTATTGCATTTTTATTCTTTGTTGGTTATGGTCATCCATTGGCTCATACTCATTCCCCATCTACTATGAAAACTACAGTAATAATTGATTATACTATTCATCTTCCAATTATTATTACAACTGGTATTTTGGCATTCTATCAATTTAGAATGTTAGAGTTATCAACTGATACAAGCTCCTCATTATGTGTAAGTTATTATTTTATTTATAAAAAAAAAAAAATTATTTAATATGGGGTGTTATTTATAATATAGTTGTAATAAAAAAAAAAACAAAAAAAAAAAAAAACAAAATACTAATATTATTTAATAAATATAAAATATAGATGGCAGCTAAATTAAGAAATAGACCTCATAAATATAGTTTCCCAATTAGAAGTTTGGGTATTAAATCTGGTGCTGGTGCTACAAATATTTCTATTGGTGTTGTTAATTCATCTGAAAGTAAATATTCAGGAACACCCGAGCATACTGGTGAATATACTGATCATTCAGCTATTACAACTGATGAAAAACCAATACCGCCAACAAACAACGAAGCTCAATCTTGCATGGCAATTGAAATGGATGACATGAAAAAGTCCATGAGCGATAATGAAGAAATGCAACAAAATTCTGGCGGTGTATCCGTTGATATTAGGGCCAGTGCCAACGAACAAGAAATTAATATAGAGAGATCCAGTGAACAACCAAATGTTCCATCTGCTGCTTCCGTTAATCCTGTTACCGAAATAGAAATTAATAATGAAGATGGTGGTGATGATGAAATACTACCTACAGAACATGATATTGATGAATTTATGGACCAAATGTAATATTATCGAATTTTTTAAATAACATACAAGCACACACAATAGAGATATATATATAATAGAACAAAATATTATTTTTTATAGTAGATTTAATAGTTATTATAATAGTTGCCGTTTTTTTATTACTATTATTTAATTTATTATATTATTTTTAAAAGTTATTATTTAAGATATAATAATTTTTATATATATAAATAACATATAAAAAAGAACAAGAAGAAAAACAAACAAATAAAATTAAACAATTGTAATATAATAATTTTTTTTTTAATTAAATAATATTAAAAAAAAAAAAAATTTTAAAAAAAAAACAAAAAAAAAAAAACAACTTTTATTTATTATTATTTATTTATTTGTATTTATTTATCTATTTAATATATAAATGGGTATTTAATAATTTTGTGTTATTGTATTGTTATCGTTGACTAATAATTACTAATTGTGCCAAATCTCTAACCTTTATTTATATATTTTTAAATTGAACAAAATTGTTTTGTGGCATGTTAAATATTAAAACACAAAATATTTTAATTTTAATATTGGTTGTAAGCAGTCAACTCAAGAATTTTTATGTTTTTTAAAACTAGTTTTGATAGAGTGGTTGTGTGGGTGAATGGGTATTTTTTTTTTAAAATTTATTTGTTTACCCCCCAACAACACTATTTATCATAATTTAAATTTAATGTATTAGATGATAAAAAGAACAACTACTATGTAATTGATAGTATATATTTTATTACTATTAGTTTTTTTTATTTTTTATTTTTTTATTTTTTAAAATTGTTATGATTTGTGTTTGTTTTTTTTTTTTTTTAATTGTTAAATTATTCAGATAAAAAAAACAAATAATATTTTGAGTTTTTTTCAGTAGATCTATTATAATAATTCTATTTTTAATTATATTTGGAAATGATTTTTAACAAATGGGGTTTTATAGTAGTTTATTGTTTCAATATATATGTTCAATATATTGTATTTCAAAATGATATCATATCATTCATATTACCACCAAGAATATTGTTTGGGGTTAAAAAGGGACTATTTTCAAATATTAAAATTGAAATCTTTTTTTTTTATTTAATTTTAATTAATATTCTATTTATATTTTAAAGGAAAAAAAAAATGTAATGTAGTGATTCAGTATTATTTTTTTTTTTTTTTTTTAAATCATTATTCAATTAAATATTACTTTTTTTAATTTTTAGAAAAAAATATAAATAGTGATTTTATAATTTTATTTTTTCTTTTTGATTATATACAAAAAAAAAAAAAATAATGAAGTTTAAAATTATTTTTTTGATTTCATTAATTTATTTTATAAATTACGTAAATTCAAAAAAAAGTAAATATTTTATCCCTATATTTATATATAATAAATAAAAATAATAAAATTTTAATTGTTTATATAGATTGTCAAAGTTATGATGAAAAAGAGTGCTCAAAAAACAAAGATGAATGTTATTCAAGTTATGTAAGTTCATGTTGTGAGAAAGATTTTTTTACGTGTTTGCCCATTCCATCAAAGTATTGCTCTCCCAAAGAGTTGGAACCTTCGCCAATTATTATTGATCATGAAAAAAATTTAATCAAAAGTAATATAAAAGAAGAAAATTTATTGGATGAAAAACAAATAATTTCCCAAAATTCTCACGAATGGTGTTTAAAAAAGAAAAAATTAATATTAAAATTCAATTCATCATGTGTACCTGAATCAGATAGTGATTTTGATTATTTCAAACCCAATAGTAACGTATTTTAATATTTTATTTTATTCTTTATTATTTATTTTATTTATTAATTTTAAAATTTTAAAATTTTTTAAATTAAATTTACTGATTATCTTCAATAGAATATAAATGTAAATTTACAAAATGTTTAAAAGGTTTTAAATGTGTAGATAACGACCATAATGAATTTCATAAAAAGTGTGACTCCTTATCAAATCCATGTTGTTCATATCAAAGTAAATGTGTTCCTACCAAAGATGCTCACAAATTGGATGTTCCAATTACTAAAAAACCAAAGGGTGAATTAAAGCAATTAATCTATAGAAATTTAAATCCAAATTTTGAAGAAAAGGAAAACCACGATAAATCCCATGGTCAAACTGATAGCTCTCATAAAAAAAAGAAATCAAACCACCATGAAGATGTAGGTGCTAAAAAGCAAGATAATAAAAATCATGATAATCAATCACCAGCATACGATGAATCTAATAATAAAAAACATGATAAAGATAATAAATCAAATCATCATGATAAAAGTCATAAAATTCACATTAAAAAAGATAAACACCAAAATAATGATGAACAACACGACAATAGTACCCCTCAACCATTAAAACAAATACCTAATCATATTGAATATAATGAAAACTTTAAAGACCCTGGTTTTATTGCTAATGATATAGCAATTAATAATAATAATAATCAAAAAGAAAATAATGAAAAAAGAAACAATAATAATGTATTAAATCCCAGAATAATCTATAAAGATCAATCAAACCTCAATAACAATATTAATGAAGCATCCAAAAATGGTAAAAAACAGACACTAGTAAATGGTTATGTGATATCAAATGAACAACAGTTTGTAAATAAAAGGTTATTATCTTTAGAAGGGGCTGAAGAAGATCTAGATACCGATGAAAATGATCAAACCGAAAATACAGAGTCGGCTGGTGAGGAAGAAAAAAATAAAAAGAAAAAAAATAAAAAATCAAAAAATAAGAATAGTAATAAAAAAAACAATAATAAGAAAAAGAAAAAGGATAACAAACATAAAAAAACAAGTAAACCAAAGAAAACAAGTAAACCAAAGAAAACTGAGCCACCTACCAGAAAACCCACAAAAGCACCTACTCAGCCACCCACTGAACCACCCACTGAACCACCTACCCAACCACCTACTCAGCCACCAACTGAACCACCCAAAACATCAAACACACCCAATCCATGTATAACTGCACTTTGCCCCGAAGGATCAAAATGTTTTGTCGCTAAAAATGGTAAACCATATTGTAAATTGCCAAACTTCCCATCCAATTTAAGAAGTTCAAAATTCTTACTAAAAACTGAAGAACAGGATAAAACAACTCCCCTAACATGTCAAAACTACTATTGTAATTATGATCAAATCTGTTATATCGAAGGATCAATACCAAAGTGTAAACCAAGACCTAAAGTACAAACCACTTTCTACGAAAAAGATTGCAGTAGTTGTCCCCCAGATAGCTCAGCGTGTGGATCCAGAGACGATGGGGAAGGCGTTGTTTGCCGTGTTAACCCAATTACTTGTGGTCTTGTAAAATGTCCCGGTGATCAATTCTGTATGGATAATACTGGTGACCTAAGTCCAAACTGCTATGATAAAATGAATTGCTCCACAGTCAAAGCTCCAAAAGGATACACCTGTCTACCAAATGAGCAAAGAGGAGGCATATTTGTTATTGAAAGCCCACCACTCAGTTGTGCCAATGTACCATGTCCTTCAGATAAAATTTGTTACATAGAAAACTCTATTCCCAAATGTAAATCTAAACCAATGCAACAATTGGTACATTATAGAAATAATTGCTCAAGTTGCCCACCAGACTCATCATCGTGTGGAACAAGAAATGATGGAAAACCAGGTGTTGTTTGCACTATTGTACCAGTTAAATGTAATGTTGTACTATGTCCTCTTTACAAGTTTTGTATGGATAACACAGAAGATATGAAACCAAACTGCTATGAAAAAATGGATTGTGCTTTAGTTAAAGCTCCAAAAGGTTACAAATGCCAACCTGATAATGAAAGAGGTGGAATTTTTGTTAAAAAATAAATTAAATAAAATAGTTAAAATTGTTTATAAAAAGATTTTTTAAAATTTATTTATTTATTTGTTTATTTGTTTGTTTAATAAAAAATGGTTAAAGTTCTGTGGTGTGGTGGTAATTTATCTAACATGGCTTCTCCTCTACCCCAGAGCATCCAATCTATTTCTAAAGCTAAAAGCTCACAGTGATGTTTATTAAAGTAATCTCTCATTCTTTCAACACAATGAACTGTAACTGCTCTAATTTCGAGCTCCATTTCTGAACCATATGGTATTTCTTGTTTTTGTTCAATCATCTTTTTTAATTCTGGTGAATATTCAATAACCTTTAATGATTCTAAAATTTGTGGTACTCCTATAATAATAAATAATAAATTTAAATTAATAAAATAAGGAATAAAAAAAAAAAAAAAAAAAGATAATTATAATTATATATAACTTACTGTAATCTGCAAACATTGTTAATTGTTTAATATCGTCAAATTTACCTAAACCTCTACCTTGATAAGCACCCCAAAGATCACCAACAAAAATTTGAGCTCTTTTATAAAAGAAAACTTGTTTACCTCTATAAACAGCACTATCTCTAAAACCCCAGAAGTATGAGGTAATAAGCTATAATTAAAATTTAAAAAAAATTAATAAATTAGTAATTTTTCTTTAAAAATAAATTTTGTTATGAAAGAGTGATACTTACATCGACTAAAACTGAAGCTTTATTTTTAGCAGCTAAAATCATTTCTTTAATACTACCATTGAAATGGGCTAATAAAACGGTACCAACTTCTCTAACTAATCTAACACGTTCAGAGATATTTGGTAATTCTCTGCCAAACCAGTTGTGTAATGTTTCAGTGGTAACTTTGGCTAATTGATCTGCATCGAAAGCTTTTGGATTTGCAATGAGTACATTCTTTAAACCTCTTGCTAAATGTTCGTATTCGAGACCCTCTTCTGGCCAAAAACAAAAGTTTAATGTATCTAAAACTAAAATATATTTTGCTGTTAAATCTGTAAATGTGCTTGATTCGTGTTCGATATCAATGTCACAATAATGGAACCAATTATCTGCCCAAATCTCCTTGTGTGGTTTGATTTTATGTTTTTCTAAAAAATCTTCACATTCTCTGACTAATTCCTGTTCATTAATTTTGACATGTGTTGATAATGATGATACATATGCTGTGGTTTCTCTAATTAATGCTAATGGATCCATTTCCTTTCTTTCTTTTTTTTTTTTATTAATTAAATAAAACGAAAAATAAAAATAAATTAGGGCGAATTCAAAAAAAAATAAAATTTTTTTCAAAAATAAAAAAAATTAAAAAAAAATTAAAAAAAATAAATTTAAACTTCAAAAAATATTAATAAATTTAATTTGGTGTTAAGTGGGGTCAAAATTTAAATATTATTTAAATTTATTTATTTTATTTATTTTTATACAAATTCATGCTTTTTTATTTATTCAATTAAAAATAATATTTTCGGAAATGAATGTAAAATTCACTTATTATTTTTCTTTGAATATTGATTGTTTATAATCTTTAAGTAGATTATAAGAGTCGATTTCTTTTAATCCATCTGGTAGTAATGGAGTTACCGAAAATTCCAAATGGGTCAAATCATTTACTAATTTTAACTTACCATTTTCAGAGAGTGGTTCTAATAAGGAGCAGTGTCTTAAAAATACAATAAACATTTTAGAGATTACAGATTTTAATTGACTTGTTAATAGATGGCAACGAGTATATCTAACTAAATAGTTTGAATGAAAATTATTTATAAGATTCTTTAAATTTTCCATAAAAGTTGAACAAATTTGATTTGGTTTATTAAAATATTTTTCGTTACTAAATTAAAAAAAAAAAAAAATTAATATTAAAATTGAAAAATTGAAAAATACAATCCTCTTGCACAACTACTTACTATAATTGATCATTATGAACTGTTGAAATAATGTGTTCAACTTGAGAAAAGAATGAGTTGATTAATGGTGTAATAATATTTTTACAAATTAACATTAACGAATTTAAAGAGCTTTCAATGGACTGTATCGAGTTTGGTTCCAGTCTGTGTGATGTTAAAAGCGTATTAATAGAGTTGTATAGCTCTATGGATGCATTGAATAGTAAACTGTTTATAATTTGAGATTGGTTTGGTTTGGAGTCGATTGAAATTTCATTTGATTGGTGTTGTAGTTGTTGCTGTTGTTGTTTTAGTTGACTAAGCATCAATTCGATTTTTGATGAGAACAAATCTATAGTTTTGCAAACTCCAATGACCAATTTGCCTAGAAGTGCCTTATCATCAATTATCAATTCAATTTCTGACCAAATACTCTTTGAAAGCTCTACCAATTGTTTGGGGTTTGGTATGGTTGGTAATGATGAGCTTCTTATTGACCATGAAGATTGTGGGAACAATCCTGTTACAACACTTGCAAGTTTTGATTGGTTATAGTCCAAATATGATTTTTCAAAAATTTGAATAGTTTTGAACAATGACACCTTATAATCGTTTGAGGACAACAGTAATAACGATGACTCTAGTCCCTCATTGCTGCTATTACCACCACTACTGTTGTTAGAGTTTGAAAATAGTTGATTTAAATTTGTTAAGACTGTTAAAAAGGGTTGCTGAACATCCATCTGATGAATATCTATATAACTTTGAATTTTTTTTGATAAATCTAAAAAGTATTTCGAAACTTTGGGATACTCTTGAACAAAAATATTTTCAATAATATTGGATGATTTGGCAGCTACAACCAAACTATTTTCCATTACCTTCAATACAGATTTCCAAAGTAAAGTTGAAAGCATTTCGATTTGTTGCGCATCTTTACATTGCTGGTATTGACCAATTAATATATACTCCATTAATGGCTTTTGTGTTTGCTGATCTCTTGTCTTTAATAAAAGTCTTTGTAGATGTAAAATTTGTATTAAAGATGTATATAGTGTATCCATTAGCTGTTCAAACTTGGGCCAAATTGAATTTTCTTTATTGAATGATGTCGACAAAATTTGCTGATTATGTTGCTGTTGTTGGAATCCTGATTTTGGGAAATCTGCAATTAATTTATTTACATTTAATAAGGCCTTGATGTTCTTTGTTGCTCTTTCATTTATAGAGTTTAATGTTGATATAACCTTATCATTTAGAATACCCAAATTAAAAAACACCTGTAATGAATTTGAAACATCACTTTGATTTTGATTTTCCATACCTTGAACCAATAGCGTCGATGACATTACAATAATTCTTTCACCACATAGCTTTACCCAGTTAATATGCTCGTCTATCATTTTAATACCTTTTAAATCCTGTGCATCTTTTAATAAATCTAAAAAGAAAAAGAATTAGTATATATGCCATATTGCTTTATTTTTTTTGGGGGGGTGAGATAGCTACTTAATTCGTTTATGCATTGTGCTGATTTAGGTAAGTCTCTAACATCGTGTTGGAGATATGTTTTTAATTTCTTAACCAATAATGTATATCTAACCACTTGTCTTAAGAGTTCACATGCCTCTTGTGAGTTTTTTAATTTTTCGACCTTTGATCGAACTTTGCTGTATGGTGATATAATTTCACCCTTCATTCTGGTTATAGATGACTCTAGGCTTGAGATGAGTGAATTAATTTGGAATGTTAGTCCATCCAATTCGTTGACATTATATGATAATTGAAACAACTCCTTGTAATTATTATTAATCTCCTCTTCCAACTCCCTTGATAGCTCCTTCGAGCAGTTGACGAGTGTATCCAGCGATGATGAAATGGAAGATACCTTTAATGCATTACTAGTATAATTTACAACATTGAATTGGTCCCCTAAAAATTCATTATATATATATGAATTATTTCCTTGAAATATATTAATTTTATTCCCTATTATATTATCATTATTACTATTGCTGGCTTTATTATTGGTATTGGACTTATTATTATCGTTTATTGCATCGTTCATTCTATAAACAATAATTATATTATAATAAGATTAATAAATTAAAATAAAAAAGTGAAAAAAAAAAAAATTTCACATTTTTTTTATTTTTTTTTAAAAAATTTTATTTTAATTTTTTTTTATTAATAAAAACATTTTTTTATTTTTTAATTTTATTTTAATATTTATCAATTAATTAATAAATAAATAATGTTCTCAAAAAGTAAAAGAATAAATATTGTCTTTACATTTATATTATTATTTATTTCGGGTATTCCAATATGGTGGAATACAACAACCACATATAGATCATCAGTAGACTTTTCATTAGTTAATGAATATTTTAATCAAAATGTAAATATATTAATAATAATCACAATTATGAAAATAATAATAATAAAAAAAAAACATAAAATTTAATACTTTATACCAATATTAACAATATTTTTAGGCTACAACAGATAAAGTATTATGGCCATTATTTAAAGAATTTTTTAATAAAGTTGGAAAGATTTCACATGATATAGAGGTTAAAAGCTCAACTGAATATAGTTTATCATTCACATTATTAAACTCTGATCCAATAGATATAATACCAAAATGGGATTTTCCATACCTTTCAAATAAATATATACAACCATTCATCGAACAAATTTCAGATATAGCAAACTTTACTGTACAATCAAAAATTTCACATTATGCAACACTTTTAAAATCACCACTTCATGAACCAAAAGATAATAGTTATTATATTCCATCATCTTTTCTATCCGAGTATATTAATCCAAACGAATGGCAATTAGATACACCTTCAACTAACCAACCCACTTTAAATTTTATCATATATATACCAAGTAAATCACAATCACCATTATATATTCGTTCTGATCAAGGTAAGCACTACTTTATCTATATTTAGCATCCAATATTTAAAAACTTCAAGTGTTCTAATTTTTATTTTAAAGATAGCAACTCATTTTTAATTCCACAATGGGGTGGTATAATAATACACAATACCAATACCAACAAAATTAAACAAGGTGAAATTGTAGATTTAACAAATGAAATTGAAAACCAAATGATTACTTTCAAATATCAATTAAAAGAATTATTAGGTATCAAATCAAATCACGAACAACAAAAATCATTATCATCCGATATTATTTTAAGTGATCAAGAAATTGATTTTGCAATTAAAAGATATACTGCCGAAAATATTAATGTTACTCTCTCAACTCTTTTCAGTCTCAGCAAACTTATTGATAGTCTTCCAAATATGTTGGTACTCGATAATATTCGTGATGAAGTAAAAGTTGCCATTGATGCATTACAACAAGCTCACAAATGTTTACAAGAAAAAGATTACAAAGGTGCCCTAAAAGCTTCAAAAATCGCACTCTATTCATCCGAATCTGCATTCTTTGATAAAAATATGCTTTCACAACTTTATTTCCCCGATGAACATAAATATGCCGTTTATACACCATTATTTGTACCTGTATGTTTCCCAATTATTGCTGGTGTATTCCAAGAGTTTTCAAACTACAGGAAAAAGAAATTAAAAAAACAATAAAATAAAATATAAATATAAATAAAAAAACAATCCATCAACACCTTTATTTATTTTTTTTTCTCTATTTATTAATTTATCATATATCATCAAATGATATTTAAAATATTATTACCTATTGTTAACAAATAAATATATTATCTATTGGGCTATTTATAGAAAAATTTTTTTTTTTTATCCACCCAAAAAAAAAAAAAAAAAAAAAAAAATATTATAAGTTTATTGTCAAGTTGTAAACTTTTTTTTTTTTTTCATCATTTGAATAATAAATAAATAAATAATAATCATGATGGTTTTTTTTTTTTTTTTTTTTTTTTTTTTTTTCGATAATTAATATTGGTTATTATCATTTTGGCGATACGATCATGTACAAAATGAGATAATATGTGGCATATAAAAAAAATAAAATAAAAAAATAAAATAAAAAAAAATTAATTTTTTTTTTTTGAATTTTTTTGAATTTTTTTTTTTTTTGTGATAAATTTTTTTTTTTTGATTTTTTTTTTATTGTTTTTTATTTTTTTTAATTTTTTTTATAAATACAAATATATAAATTATATATTTAATTACAATTATATATTATATATTTTCATTAATCACACACAAACACAATCACACACAACACAAAAAAAAAAAAAAAAAAAACAATTCTTAAAAATCAGAATTCTCTTCATATTTAAAGATTAATTTTTTTTTATTTTCTTTATTTATTTGTATTTCTATTAAACAACCCACCCAACCAAATTTTAAAATTTAAATTGTATTTGTATTTTTATTATAAAACTATTTTTTTTAAAGAAAAAAAAAAACTAAAACTATATATAAATAAAAATGAGGTAAGAAAGAAATTTTAATTTAATCAAACAACAAATAGCAAATTTAAAAAAAAAAAAAAAAAATCCATATATTAATTTTTTTTTTAAAATTTTTTTTATTAAAATTATTAGTGAAACAGCAATCTTTAATGCAACAGGTCAAGTTTTTACATATAACCCACAAGTTAGAAATTGGGTACCATCATCCAATGTCCCAGCCACTCTTCAAATGTATTATAATTCATCAGCAAACACTTATAGAGTTATTGGTAGAGCAGGTGACGATCCAAATAACTTTTTAATTAATTTTGCAGTTAAAAGTGATGTAGTTTACAGCAGAGCATCAGAGGTTTTCCATCAATTCACCGATCAAAGAACCCACTTTGGTATTAATTTCACCAGTAAACCAGATGCTGACACTTTTGGAGGAGGTTTCGAAAAAGTTTTAGCAACTCTTAAAGGTGGAGCACCACCAGCAATGAAACCAGCTGCACCACCACAACAACCAGCACCACAAAGACCAGCCTCAACCACAATTGCCAAGCCAGTAGCTCCAGCTGCCCCAGCTGCTCCATCTCAACCACCAGCTGCTCCAGCTCCACCAGCCCCACCAGCTCCACCAAAACCACCAGGTCCACCACCACCACCACCAGCTGCTGGTGCTCCAAAACCAGCATCTGGTGCCGGTAGAGGTGCCCTTTTAGGTTCAATTGAAAATTTCTCAAAGAATGGTTTAAAGAAAACTGTCACTGTCGATAAGAGTAATCCATTAATTGGTAATACACCAGCTGCACCAGCTCCATCAAGTGGTGGCTCAACCCCAGCTAGTGGTGGCTCAACTCCAGCTGCTTCTACACCAAAAGTTTCTAGCGGTGGTGGTGGTGGTGATTTAATGGCTGAAGTTATGGCCAAAAGAGCCAAAATGAAGGCCGCTGCTGCTCAACCAAAAGAAGAATCAACCCCAGTTAGAGATACACCAGCTCCAGCTCCAACTCCATCACATTCATTTAACAAACCATCAACTGCTCCATCATTCAATAAACCATCTAAACCAGCAGCCCCACCACAATCTACCAAACCAAGCCTTTCACCATCATCAACCGCCTCACCACCATCAACTGTAGCAAGCGAAGATTTACAATCACTCAAAGAAGAGATTTTAGCTGAAGTAAGAAAGGAATTAAAAGCAATGAAAGATGAAATCCTCGAAGCTATCAGAAATTCACACTAAAAAAAATAAATTAAAATAAAAAAATTATATATATAAAACATAATATGAAAAATAACACTCACATTTAAAACACTTATCTATAAATATAAAATATACATACAAAATCAACATTAATCTTTTATATATTTATAAAAAAAAAAATCAAATAATAAAAATCAAATAATATATATTTATTAGTTTATTATATATATTTAAAATTATTTAGAGATTAAAGGAAAAAAGTTTATTTAATTTACATATTATTAAATTGTAAAAATATTATATATATTGAAAATTATTATAAAATAAAACTGTTGGTTTTTTTATTTTTTATTCTTTGTTGAATAATCTGCATTGATCAAAGCTATCGATGATTATTCTGTTTAAGCAATCTGTGGAAACTTCTTGTATTTGGGTTGCATTGAAACGTGTGTAGACAACATCCACTCCATCTTTGTTTACTGCTCTGTATTTTGATACTTGAATTGTGACTTCATATAAAGCACCAAATACTTTGTTAAAGATTTTATTGATTTCATCTTGGTTATCACCTCCTACATATTCATACATTGTATTTGGGTTGACACCTAAGAGTCTTTCACATGTATTACCAAGGACATCAATTTGAATTGATTCACTTTCATCAGAGAGTTTGAATTGCATTTTGTAATTTTTTTCATAGGCAGAGTCTTCACAGTCTTGATTGTTATGAGAAGCACTAGATTTCTTGCATTTGGTGCAAGCATCGTAATACCATTCAAGATATTTCTTTCCAGAATCATTTGGGGCTACATATGGTGGAATACGGGATAAATGACCAACAACACGATATTGATGTTTGTAACCTCCATTTTGGTTGTTTTCTTTAGTAAAGAAGATTGGTGAATCTTCTGGAAGAGTTTTAATAACAAAAATTGGGACATGAATACTGGTATATGCGGAATTTCCTTTTGAAATTGATTGGCCAGTGTAGAGGGAGCTGCTGGCTTGTAATTGACGAAGTTGGGAAGTTCTTTCGATGGCATTGTTGTTAATTTCATAGCTTGAGGCACTGAGAGATTTGTTATTAAAATTGGTGTTGACTTTGGCGTTCTTAATAGCGATAATATCACCATCTTTGACATCAATGTCAGCTGCTTCATTCCAAAATATAACCTCAATGATTCCGGTTGTATCATTGATATTAATACTACTCTTTACTAATTGTTTATTGTTTTTTGATGTGAATCTTTGATTTAAATTGCAATCGGAGACAACACCAATAACGTCACAGGTGGTTCCAGTTTCTACGTTTGATAAATCTTCAATGTTTCTAAAATCATAAAAAATATCCATTTCTTCATCGACTGGAACGATAGCAGTAGAGGCATTAAATGTAATTTCGTAATCATGTGGGAGTCTACTAAAATCTTTATTTGCTTTTTTGGCATAGAAACCTTGGATTTTAAATACCTTTTTCTTTTCGAGCATTTCATAAAGATCGTCAAAAGCTGGTAGTGGATTACTCTTTGAAGAAAAACATGTGGCCTTGATGCTACCAGTCGAATCTTGTAAAATGACACTAAAAAGTTCACCAGAGTTATCACCACCTTTATTCCATGATTTTCTTGGCATTCTTTCCATTACCATAGCTTTAATTGTAATTTCTTTACTGTGTTCATTAATATCTGCAATATCGGAAACATGGGATCTTAAGACTGATTCTGAATCTGGTTGGGGTTTAGTATATTTTTGTTGTGGTTGGAATGGCAGTGAGCCTTGAGATGGTTTTGGAATAAAATTATTATTTTTAGTTGGTGTTGATGTAAGATTTGGTCTTGGAGCAGATCTTTGTTGTTGTGGTTGTTGTTGGAATTGTGGTTGTTGGTATTGTTGTTGGTTTGGATTTTGATTTTGATTTTGATTTTGGTTTTGATTTTGATTTTGATCTTGTTGTTTTTTATAAACTGGATGATACGATAAGTTTTTGCCTGAAGTGAGGATTTCTTTTGGTGATTTATCAATTACTTGAAAATCTAAAATACTGAGGAATCTCTTTGGAAAATTTATTGAAAAATCTTTTAATCTAATTATTGAAAACATTGGTACAATTGATACATCATTAACTTTAATAATACCAACAAAAATATATTGTTTGTCTGATAAATGAATTTCTAAACTATTGGCTGTATTGGATTGTTTAGTTTTAATAACTTGGACAACTAAATTTTGGTTATCATAACGTTCTGTTTTTTCTACATAGATTAAGTCTGATAATCCTCCTTCTGTAATTGGTGTTGACATTTTATTATTTTATATTATATAAATAATGGAATAAACTGAAAAAATTTAAAAGTTGAAATAAAAAAAATAATATAAAAAAAAAAAAAAAAATTATGTTATGAAATTTTTTTTAAAAAAAAAGCGCAAAAAAAAAAAATAAAAATAAATAAAAAAAAATAAAAAAAAAAAAAAAAAATAATTAAATTTAATTTCTAATTATTTTTACAATTTATATAAAAAATGTATTTTTTTGGAAATAAATAATATTCAATTACAATAAAAAATCTAAACAATTATTTTCATTAATTCTAAGAAGGTTATATATAAATTATTAATTATTTATTAATTTCATTAAGCTATTTGTAACCAACATCCATCACAAATATCTTTTTTTTTTTTTTTTTTCAATTTTTATTATTTTGAAGATCCACAAAAAAATTTTGTTATTTTTTTTTATTTGTATATAAATAAAAATTAATTATTACCACAAAATTATAATTATATGTTTTAATAGAATTTATATTTTAAATCATATTCTATTAACGTTAATATTTTTTTCTTCATTTTTTTTTGTCAGGCTCAATCTTATTAAACACACGATTTTATTTAAGTTTTGATTAAAACTAAATATAGTTTTTACTTTTTTTTTTTTTAAAATTTTTTTAAAATTTTTTTAAAATTTTTTTTTAAATTTTTATAAAGAAAACTATTCTTTAAAAAGATAGTTTCAATGGTTTATTATTGATCTTGTTTATTAAAGAAAAAACAAATACAAAATTAGTGTATATGTTTTTTTTTTTTTGGGTTTTTTATTTATGTTATTGTTTTGTGAATATGTGTGAGTGTGGGTGGGTGGGTGTGTGGGTGTGTAAAATAAAATGTAATAAAGAATTATAAAAAATAGTAGTATTATTTTATTTTAATGTTATTAATATTGGTGTGTTTTTTAATAGTTATTTTTAGCAGTGTATTCTTGTGTGTGTGTGTGGTGTGAGCGAGAGAGTGTTCGCAGTATATTAAAAAACAAAAAAATGAGAGGGGTTCTGTGTGTGGAGTGAGAAATAGTGTGGTTTTTTTTTAATACCCATTAAAAAAAAAAAAAAAAAAAAACAGCAAAAAATTAAGAACGCAAATTTATTATTATTAATAATAATTAAATATAATAATATATATATACAAAGATATAAAGAAACAATATAACAAATATTTTATATTTTAAATAAAGTGTTAGCAGCCACACACACGCACATTCAAAAAAATATATTATTTATTTAAAAAAAAATAATTAATTTTATATATATAAAAAAAAACAAGTAATATCATTCAATCTCTCACTTAATATTATATATATTTTATATTGATAATACATTATATATTTATTTATTTTATTTATTATTATTTTTTTTTTTAAATAATTTTAATAAAAATAAAAATAAAAAAAAAAAAGTTGTTTGTTTTTTTTTTTAAAATTATTATTATTAAATAAATAATAAGTTATTATTAACACATAATCATCAAAAATAATCATCACAATAATAATAATAATAATAATAATAAAAATAAATATTATAAAATAATATCATAATTATTTTAAAGAGTGTGATTAATCATACCCTATCCAATATTTATAATAAATAAAGTGTGTATTATTTTCCTATCTTTTATCAATAATCATCAATCAATCATTAATAATAAACAAATTATATACATATGAAATAGTTAATAGTTATATTTTTTTTTAAAAAAATAATAAAATAAAAATTTAATTATAAAATATTAATTTTTAAATTTATTTAGAATCCATATAATAAAAATCAATAATTTTAGGAACATAAATTTTATTATAGAGTGATAAAAACACACAGAACATAATTTTTTATTATATAAAATAAGCACACTTGTATAAATACCATCAGTAATAAAATAAATCTTAGTTATTTTTAATTTTGAAACAAACACCACAAATAAACAAACAAACAACAACAACACAAGAGCAGCAACAACAAGAGCAGCAATAGTCATCAAACAACAACCACTAACACAAAGTATCGATAAAAGAGTTTTGTATATATATAAAATATTGTTAAAAGCAATCAATAATAACTCTCAACAAAAAAAATAGTAGAAAAATAGTAAGGCTATTATATACATATATATATTTTTATTATTTTTAAAATTAACTTTTTTTAAATTGATGGATAGTTTATATAATTTTTTTTTTTTTTTCATAATTATATTTTATTTTTCTTTATTTTTTATTATTATCATTCTATATATTATTTAATTTTATTTACTAGCAATATTATTATTGTGTGTTTTTTTAATTATTTTTTAAAATTTTCAATTTTATCTTTCATTTTAAAATTTTATACACAAATAATAATAGTAATAACAACAATAATAAACTTTATATAAAACTAAAAAAATCAATACAATAGAAATTATAATAAAAAATTATTTATTTATTTATTTATTTATTATATTAACATTCAATTTTTTTTTTTATAGAAAAATAAATAATAATAAAAATAAAAATAATAATAATAATAATTTTATAAATTTAATGTACTAAAATATAATGTCATTAAAAGCTCAATCACCATCAACATTGCCATTAGTAGGTGGTATACAAAATGTAGTGCCATCAACGTCACCTCCCCAACAATCACAGCAAATATCACCAGGCACTACATCAGCATCCATTATTACAAATACATCATCATCTTTATCATCATCAACATCTTCTATATTATCATCAACCTCTTCGATTACACCACCATCAAAACAAATATTAAATAAATCAGATAGTTGTAGTAAATTAATAAACGAAAAAGACAATATAAAAAATATTATTAACAATACAACCCCAAATAGTAATACTACTGTTAACCCAGCTATTAATAATATTTCAAATACATCAGTTATGGTATCAGCACATTCACCAAGTCAATCGAGTGGTGCATTACCACCATTAAAAAGATCACCAACTCATTCCAGAACTAACAATAATACAAATACAAAACCTCCACCACAACAATTTATGTTATCCAATAATAATAATACTTCAACACCACCAACAGGAGCACCAATCACAAAGCAGCCACAAAAAGTTGAGGATAATAAAAGTATAAATCTTGCTAATAGTACAAATTCAGTGGGATCAAATACTTTTCATAAATCACAATCAGAAAGCAATATATTAAAATTAAATCAAATTGGGCAAGCTGGTGTATCAGCTGCAAATTTGGGAAATTTTATGGATTTAAAAGATAATGATAATATAGATTTAAGAGATGAGATTTTAAAGAATATACCTTCATCAATTTCGATGGAGAATTTTGAAAAAACCTCAATTGATGAAAACCAGAGTGGTGGATCAAACTCATCTTCAAGCCAAAGTTTATTAAATTTATTAAAGAATAATAATGACAATTGTAATACTAGTAGTAATAGTTTTAAAGGCAGCTTTTTAACCGCCCAACCCAATAAAAATCTAAATCAACCATTATTAGATGATTCATTATCAAAACAAAGATGCAGATCTGCTTCATCATCAAGTTCAACTGAGTATAGTAGAGCTCAACTTTTTCCTAATTCTAAGCTCGGATTTATACCATCAAATACATTTACCCAAGCTGGTCTACCAGGTTTACCAAGTAATGGTAATTCATTAACAACCACATCAATAACCAGTTTGTCCGAAAGTGTACCAATTACCCAGCCATCAACACTTTATTCTTCAGTTTCATCAAGCGGTTCATCATCTCCATCAGCTGAGGATTTAAATCAAATTTCAGGTTCGCCAATTCCTGTTCCTGCAAACATGGGAATTAGTGTATCTCAAGATGGATATATACAACCTTCAATATCTCCCAGAGCTCATCGTATGAAAATAAAATTCTTTAAAAATATAACAAAGTGCAGTGTATGCTTTTTAAATATATGGACTTTGCCATTTGGAGATAAGGGATTTAAATGTAAAGGATGTGGGTTATCAGCCCATAAAACTTGTATAACAAGAATAAGTGATCAATGTATTACTTCTCCCATAAAGAAAAGATTAAGTACAAATGAAAAGGATTTGGGTTTGGATTCTGTTGAGCAACACACCACAACAACAACAACCACAACAACAACAACCACAACAACCACAACAACAAAATCATCACCAGTTAGTCCACGTGATACTACAAACAATCCAAGTTTAGTTTATACCCCACCAAATACACCTTTACCATCAACTACTACCACAACTACTTCAACTACTACCACAAGAACTGCTCCAAATTCGACATCAACATCACCAAATCTATTTGGTGATGCAAATAATAATATTATAAATAATTTTGAACAGAATCAACAACAACAATATAATAATTATAATAAGTTTGTAAAGATGTTCCATTTTACATTTAGAACATTGATTCCACAAGAAGAAATCCCAATTAAAGAATATAATTGTGGCTTCAAAAGCTCTATTTTGCATGGAAAAATGTATTTGACCGAAAACTATGTTTGTTTTTATGATAACTATGTCTTCGATAAAAGTAGAGAGCGTGCAAAGGTCATTAAAATATCCAATATTTCTTCCATTGAAAAGAAAACATCTAATTTTGCGCCAATAATTTTAATTAAAACTGAGGAAGCCACCTATCCATTTTATTTCCTTTTCAATAGAGATGAAGCATTCGAAGATTTAGAGGGGTTATTAGTGCACCAAGAAAACACCCATTTAAATCAAAGTATTAAATCGAATAATATTAATGGAATGAAAGAGGTTATTTCATCACAGCGTTCAAGACAATCCATTAAACAATCCAAAAGATCAAAATCCGTCGATTCAAATTATCAATTTTCAATATTCCAAAAGTTAAACTCTCCATCTCCAAATGAAGAATCATTATTGCTTCAAGTAATAAGAAAAAACAATTTTGAAATGGTTCAATTGTTATTAGATTATTATACATTAACAAAATCAGATGAAATTAATCAAGTTGATGGGTAAATATTTATATTATTTTTATAAAAAAAAATTGAAATACTTATATTTTTTTTATATATTTATAGAAAAGGTTATACACCATTACATAACGCTGTGTTTTTAGATTGTACCGATAATATTTATATTTATTTATTAAAGCATAACGATATTAAAGTTAATGAAAGAAATATAGATGGTAATACACCATTACATTATTTCTGCCGTTACTTTGTATCCCCAGAATGTCAAAAGATTGCTCAAATGATGATTGATAAAGGTGCAGATATTAACGAGCAAAACAATATGGGCGAAACTCCGTTACATCAAGCAATTTTCAACAGTACTGTACGTCTTTTAATGGTATATGTTTTATTAAAAAATAATGCCAATGTAAATATTGTAAATAAAATGGGTGAATCACCATTACACTATGCAGTACGTCTTGGTAGATTAGATGTAATGAAGATTTTGTTAACAGCTGGTGCCGACCCAACACTTGCTAACAATGATAAGAAGAAACCATTAGATTTGGCCGAAGCTATAGGTAACCCAGAAATCATCGATCTATTAAAACGTTTAGATCTTATTATAAGCCATTTGGAAATGAGCAACCTCAAACAGTATCGTATGGCTTTAATTCTTCAAGAACTCCTACAAGAAGGTTCAATCACTCGTCTGGATGAAGAAATAATGAAGACGATTGGTTGTTATGATGAAGAACACAAAAAGTTATTATATGGTTTACAAAACTCATTAAAAAATAATAAAATCTTGGTATTCCAACCAGCTATTAGTAAAGGGGCTCAAGCAATTTTAAGAGAATTGGAAAATATGGATATTAAAAATGGAAAATGGGTTATTTCTTACAGTGACTTAGAATATACAGAAAAAATTGGTTCTGGTGCAAGTGGTAAAGTTTATAAAGGACTCTATAAAGGAATAGAAGTAGCCATAAAAGTGCTCAAGTCAGCGGACGAACAGCGTAGCAGAGATGAATTCCTCAAAGAATTTATGGTATTGGCTTCTTTAGAATCATCAATGATTGTAGGTCTTTATGGAGTAGTATTGGAACCAAGAATTTGTTTAGTTATGGAATACTGTGAAAAGGGTAGTTTATATCATTTACTTCGTAAAGAAAAAATGACTTGGGATAAATTTTTCTCTTTTGCTCTTCAAATGCTCAAAGGTATTTCAGCTCTTCACAACTCCACTCCTCAAGTTTTACACAGAGATGTAAAAACATTAAACTTTTTAGTTAACAAAAACTATGTTATAAAAGTTGCAGATTTTGGTCTCTCTAGATTCAACACTAGATCAAATCAAGTTACATTAAACAAAACAAGAGGAACATCAGTTTATTGCGCCCCAGAAGTATTTGAAGGAAAAGAATACTCACAAAAATCCGATCTTTATTCGCTAGGTACTGTATTTTGGGAAATGGTTTATACAGTTATCAACCAACGTTATCTTCACCCATACGCCGAATATAAAAAACTTAATGAATTCCAAATTATGCTTTCAACTGCCAACAATGATTTAAGACCAACTCTTCCACCAACAACCCCAACTTCGATAAGAGCTCTTATTCAATCTTGTTGGGAAAAAGATCTTTCAAAAAGACCAATTGCAAGCGAAGCTTTTGATACTTTGGAAATAATCCAAAAAGAATACCAATCAAATCAAGCTGCTTGGGATGAAATAATTAATCATAGAGATACTAACTCCACAAGTGATCAATCATCTGAATCATCATCATTTTCAAACTAATAGTTTTATAAAATCAAGTAACAATAATAATAATTAATAATAGTAATAATAATTAAAAACAATAATATGATAACAATAAATAATAATAGTTTTTTTTTTTTTTGGTAATATTTAAAAAAAATATAAATGTAAAACTCTTTTAAAAAAATAAATAAATTTCTTTGTATATAAAACAAATAATTAATTAAAAATAAAATTAATTATTTCCTAATAATTATAAAAATTTTATTAAAAAAAAAAAAAAAACATATGTTTAAATATCTTTTTCATTTACTTGAACATCTTTTGTTTCTTGTTTAACTCCTTTTTGATTTTGTTTTTCAACTTGTTTATTTTCATCCTCTACAATTCCATCTTTAACTTGATCTGTTTTATTTTATCTATTATTCGTTTTGTTTTGTTTGATTATTTTCATTTTGTTGTTCAACTTGTTTATTTTCGTCTTGTATAGTATCTTCTTTAACTTGATCCTGTTTAATATCATTTTGTTGTTCAACTTGTTTATTTTCATCCTGTGCAGTTTCTTCTTTAATTTTGTCTTGTTTAATATCATCTTTTTTTATCTCTTCCTGCTGTTTAATTTCATTTTGGTGTAGAATTGAATTATTTCCGTTTATTATATCATTCTCTGCTCTATCTTCTTTTTGATTCTCTTTCTTATCCTCTTTTTCTAACCCATCATCCATCTCTATATCTTTTTCAATTTCTACATCCTTTTCATTATTATTAGATTCTTTTTCTTGGGTTGCTGTAGATTTTTTTGATGGAGTGAAATCATCTTTTTGTTCCTCTTCCAATGTTTCAATAATATTTTTAATTTTTTCTCTTTTTGTTGTAATTTCTTCGCAAGTGAACCAGTGGGGTCTGTTTAACTAAAAAAAAAAAAAGTTAGTTAATTGAAATCAAATTAAAATAATGCTTGCATTTATATTTACTGGATCGTTGAAATTAGTTTCTGGGTTTCTACAAAACAACTCGATATAATGTAAAAGAAAAACTCCACAATCAAATAGATTATCTTGCTTTGGGACATTAGCTCTAACCAGTGGCAAATTCTTTGAAGTAAAAACTCTTTCGGGGATTGTGCCATTAGATGGATCAGATTTCTTATGCTTCCATTCAATTGTTAAATATTCCCTAATCTTTTTTGTAATGACGAGTAAACTTTGGCTATTTAATGAATCTAAAAATATAATCAATGGTTTATTTGTTTCTGTTGCTGTTTCAAATTCTTGACAGGGAAATGAAATAATTAATAAAGTCCAATGCGAACTATAATAAAAAAATAAAAGTTAATGAAATTTTAAATATTGAAAAATTATTTATACTATTAATTACTTTAAACAAATTGGAATAAATAAGAAATCGAAAGAAAAAATATCCACATTTTTGGTCCATTTTGAAATTCTGGTATATGCAGTATTTGAATTACTATGACTACCAATAATATTATAAAAAAATGTACTAAAGAAATAAAATTTAGTTTTATCAATATCTAAAACATAATGATCCTTAATATATCTAATTATTATATAAAAATATCAAAAATATTAGTACTATGCCATTTATCAAAGTTCTATTTAATATTAATATTAATATTACCTTATATAAAAATCTATAATTGAATCGTTTAAATATTGTGACGGCTCTAATCTTGATTTATCTGAATAAGTGATTTTAACTATATCTCTATTATTCACAAACTCTTTGGTGCTCTTGATATGTGGATAAAGAGCAATAACCTTATCCATTTTGCTATGATCCTCTATTTCCATTGAAAGTCTTAAATTTGAAGATTTCTTTTCAATAAATGGTTTCATTGCTTCGAATTGATCCCTTGGAATCACAAAAAATGAAATTGAATTCGAAATACCATATTCAAAGTCTAAAAAATTAAAATTAAAATTCAATTAATATAATTTTTATTATAAATTTTCTTTGTATATTATATTTTTTAAAACTTACTTTTTAACGCGGTAATTTTGGTTAACCAAAGTTTTTTATATGAAAACTCATTTAATAATATATCGATATTAATGAATTTATTAAAGCAAGATACTACAAATTCTTTAATATTTTTATATGGTATCTCTATTATAACCATATGTTCTTTTTTTACAAGGGTTGTATTTGGTGATAAAAAATAAAACGGTATTGTTATTTCTATTTGATTCTCTTTAAAGAAAACAATTTGATCTGTTGGATGTTGATCATATTGACCAATTTTAATTTGACCTGGTGTTAAAAATATATTATCTGGGTCTACAATTATTGGTGCATTTGATACTTCTTGAATTTCATTAATGTCATCATCCTCCAATATGTTTTTTTTATCACTATTTGGTTGGGCACTAAAATCATCGTCATCATCCAAGTTAACTGGACAATCAAAAGTACCAGTGCCAACAAATTTACAACTATTTACATTTGATACATCTATATTTGATATCTCTGATCTCTGCTGTTTAAACCTTTGTTCTGCATTTAATCTTGTCGATAAACCTCTACCTCTTTTTAAATCCATTATTTATATTTATTTTATTTTTTATTATTTATTATATTTTTGTTTATAATTAAATCTTTAAATATAAATATATGGATACTAAAAAAAAAAAAAGAAAAAAAAAGAAAAACAAATAATGATAAAAAAAAAATTTTAAAATAAAAAAAATTCAAAATTCAAAAAAAAAATTTTTAAAAAAAAAAAAAAAAAAAAAATTTAACTTTAACTTTAATAAATTTTATTTTTAAATTTTAGTTAAATAAATTATATATATTCGAAAAGTAATTTTAGATTTTATTATTTTATTGGAATATTGTTTTTATTTTTAGCAGCAAAAAAGAAATTTTATCTTTCAATGAATCTCAAACTATAATATTGTTCTGCCTATGTTTACAGAAAGATAATTTATTTTGGGATTTGGTTAAAAAAAAAAAAAAAGCCCCGCTTTGAAAACTGAGACTCTAAAGTAAAGATTTTTTTTTTAAAATTTTTTTTTTTTTATTATCCAGAAAAATTGAATTTAAAAAAAAATATTTGGGAAAATATGTTAAAATTTTTGATATTTTTTTAAATACACAATATATAATTAATATGTTAAAATTTAATATTAATATTATATATAACTAAAATAAATTATATTTATAAATTATAATAAAAAAAAGTACAAATCTAAAGAGCCCCTTTTTGAGATATATAAAAATAAATATCTATTTTTTTTAAAAAAAAATATTTTAAATAATAATAATAAAATTGCTCCCCCAAACAAAAGCAATTGCCCTTTTTTATTTTTTTCACATAATTATTTTTTTTTTTTATATTTTTTGTTGTATGTATTATGGGGAAAAGTATTATTTTTAGGTATACCAAGCCCTATCATTAAAAAATTTTATATCTTAAAAAAAAGTGATTTTAATTTTTTTTGTTAATTTTTATATTCGAACCTAAATATTTATGACCTGGCTTTAACACTCATATTTTTTTTATTTTATCAAAAAAAACTAGAAAATAATAAAAAAATTAAATATCTTGAACTTTTTTTTTTTTTTTTATCAAAACTTAAAAATATTTTTTTTTTTTTTTCATTCATTTTTCATTTTATATTTTTTATTTTTATAGTAATATTTTTATTGTAATAGTATTTTGGGTATTAATATTAAAAAAAATTGTAGATATATAAATTTTATAAAATAAAAAGTTTTATAAATTAAAAAAAAAAAAAAAAAAGTTAATAATAGTAAGTAATTTTTTTTTTGTTTCTTTTAATTGAAAATGTCCTTTTTTATTTATTATAAAAATAAATCGGTGTTTTTTGATTAATAATTTGTAAAATCACATATTAATCAAAAAATAAACAATAACATTTATTATTATTTTTATTAAACCATATATATAAATGAAATTATTTTTAGAGCCCCTATTTAATATTTAAAACCCACACTCCTTTCACACCCACCACAACCCACACAAATAAAACACTCATACACACATTTAAATATTTTTTTTAGATTTATAAAAAAAAAAAAAATAAAATTAGACTTTTTTTTTTATTTTTTCAATAGGTTTTTTAATAAATAGCCTTTTGTTTTTTTTATTATAATATTTTTTTATTTATAATTATAATTTTCTTGCGTATAGAAAACTTTTTTTAATAAAGAGTTTAGTCTAAATATTGTTTTTTACCCAAAATTATTTAAATAGTTTTTTATAATTTATTTTTTTATTTTTTTTATATATAAGGAATTATAGAACTCTTTATGTTGCAAATAAATCACCAATCACAACTTTGATTGTGTGTGAATGGTGTGGGTGTGTTAACTTTTTTTTTTTTTTTAAATTTTTTTTTTTTTGTAAATTTGGTTTTATATCTGATTTTTTTTTTTTAAATTTTTTTTTTTTTTTTCTATTTTTTTTTAATAATTAATTTAAAAATAAAATAAAAAAAAACAAAATAATTTTTTTATTAATAATCACACTATCACACAAAGATATATATAAAACAATATATACAATTAGTTACAACCAACAACAACAAAACAATACACACCAACCACCAAGACATAAAAAAAAAAAAATAACTCTCAAATTAAACACAAATTTTTTTTAAATTTTTATTTTTGTTCCCCTTTTTTTTTTTTTTTTATTTATTTTTTTTACTTTCAACTATTTTTATACATACCCCCTCATAAAGATAAAATAATATTTTTTTAAAATAAAAGAAAAATAAAATAAAATAAAATAAATTTTTATACCCTTTAATCAAAAAAAAAAATTTATTATATCTGATTTTTATAAAAATAAATTAATAAATTCAAGTTTAGACAAAAAAAAGTTCGTTACTCTTTTTAAGAAATTATTGTTTTTGATTTTTTATTTTTATTTTATAAATATAGATATATAATAAATAATTTTAAAAACTATTAATATTAATTATTATTTTTTTTTTTAATTCCGCAGAAATAAATTTAAAATATTTGTTCAGTTAATAAATGTAAGTAATTTTATACTATACGAATTATATTTATATACATTGTTTAATAATAGAACTAAAAAAAAAAAAAAAAAAAAAAAAAAAAAAATTTTTAAAAAAAAAATTATTATTGATAATAATATCAAAATCAAATTTAATCCAATTACAAATTTAATATTTACTATATATATTATATAATATACATATAAAATTATCAAATTTTTTAATTTACAAATTTGTTTTGTTTATCTTATCTTTTCTATTTTAATTTTTTTTTTTTTTGTGTTTTTTTTTTAATTATATCAATTTATTTTTAATTTTATATTTTTTTATATAAAAAACCATTTTTTTATTTTTTTATATTTTTATTTTATTTTATTTATATATATCATATTATATTTAATAAAATAATATTAATTCTTTAATTTTATTTATATCATCATCATAAATTCATTTTTTTATTTTTTATTTTTTTTTTTAAAAAAAAAAGTAAAAATTTTTAAAAATGTTTAGTTTTTTTAAAAAAAAGGAATCATCAAATTCTCCATCAACTCAATCACAATCAACATCAAACAATAAAGATGGAGCAACTTTAAGTTCGAGTGGTGAAGGAAAAATTAAAACTAAATTATCAAAGAATGACTTAACAAAGAGTGAAAGTTCAAATAGTAGTTTAGCAAATAGTCCAAGAAGTGATAGAAATGAATTAAATATTAGAGATATACCATATGATTTGTTAGGTAAAATTCTTGCAATTATCCATGGAAACCGTATTTTAACTAAAGAATTTATGGCAACCAGTTTAGTATGTAAAAAATGGAGAGCTCTAGCACGTCTTAATGGAAACCATATAAATTTAGAATCATTCTTTAAAAAAGTAGAAGCAACCAAAATGAAAGTAGAAACCATCGAAACCTGTGTAAACTATTTCACCTATGTATATCAATCATTGGAGGTTGTTGATATTGGTAAACTTTGTATAAATAATAGAATTCATTCAAAATATTCAATTTCTCTCATGGAGTCAATCGATAAAATAACAAGAATGTCTTTGGATCTCTCAAAGGTTACTATTTCCGAATATGAAGTTATTGTTTCAAGTTTGAAATCATTCAAAGCCATTAAAGACTTCACCGTTTTAAACATGTCTAGCCAATATACACCAGCCACCATCTCACTATTAGAGTCGCTACCAGAATTAGAAACTTTAACTTTCACCGAAATAAATTTAGAAAATAACCCCGAAGACCATGAAACTTTTGTTCAATTTGTTAAAAAGAATACCACAATTACAAAACTCACCATAACATTACAACCAGACAATAGCATTAGATTTTTAAACAGTGTAAAAATAATCCTCCAAAATAACAGAGCATTAAAATCATTATCAGTCACCCAAACCATAAGAAGACCCTCATTACCATCATCACCATCATCCTCCCATGTACATTTATTATCAATTTCACCAACATCATCATCATCATTAGCAAACAATGCCAACTATAACGGAGGTAGCAGCACAAGCAACAACAATGGTTCAGTTTTAACATCCTCCTACTCACTTTCAAAATTCTCATATCCATTTGACACCCTCAAAGAGCTTAACCTTTCAAATATGTCATTAAACGACTCCGATATCATCGAATTAGCAGAAAATGTAATTTCAGTTAACAGCTCTTTAGTCTCTTTAGATATCAGCTACAATAGAAAAATTTCTTCCTCTGCTTTAGATACACTTTTCAGAACCATGATCAAAAATGATGAAATGAAATTAGAGTCGATGAATGTCAGTGGCTTGGCAATCAATGATGGTGTTATAAGTTTAATTGGTGACTATATTGGTAAAACTGATACCATGAGCCGTTTATTCATTAGCGATTGTGAACCTTATTGGTCTGATGGTTTTAAAAACTTTTCAAATAAACTTTCAAATCATCCAGGTATGACAACTCTTCACTTAAATAGAAATCATATTGAAACCAAATGTTTTGATGATCTTGCAAACTCCATTTCAAACAACAATTCAAAACTCAGATTTTTAGAGTTATCAGGTACACTTAACAATGCTCAAAGTTTACATTTAATTTGCAGCTCTTTAGGTAGTAACAGCAACTTGGTTTCATTAGATATTTCAAATTGTGTTGTATCTTACTGTCCCTCTTTAACCGACTCACTTATAAAGAATCGTCACCTCACCAAATTAAATGTAAACAATTGTAAATTAAATCAGACCACTCTTTTAGGTTTTGCAAATTCCCATTTAGAAGTTTTAGATATTGGATCCAATAGCTTTAATGCTGTTGATGCATTAGAAGAATTCTTTGATTGTCTTAAAGGAAACAATACAATCTACTCTTTAAATCTTTCAAATACTGGTATTAAATCAAAAGAATGCCAAGCCCTTTCAAGTCTCTTAGAATCAAATCCAAAAATTCTTCAAGTAGATTTATCACATAATAAAATTAAATCCTCAGATATTCAATGTATAGTAAAATCAATCCAATCAAAAAATTTACCAAATACCTTTAAGTTCAATATAAAACTAAAAGACACCAAAATTGATTTAAACAAAATTTCAAATGATTTATCAAATAATCAAATTTTAATTGATTAATAAAAAATATAAAAAAAAAATAAATAAAATAATTATATATTATAATGTTGTAAATTTATAAAAATAAATACGAAACTTAAATTTTTCAATTTTTTTTTTTTTTTTTTTTTTAATTTTTATATTTTTTTAAAAACTAAATAATAACAATATGTTAAATTATATATTTTGTTAATAAAGATAGTTATTATCTTTTTTTTAAAAAACTTTATTTTATATTATCCATTAATATCAAAGCTAATTCTTTTATATCTGGATTGTGAATATTTTTTATAAATTAGTGTGAAAATTGATATAACGGCAATTAGACCAATTCCAGAACCAAATCCAATAAAGAAATAAATTATGAAATTAATTCTTTTTTGTTTTTTTGAAAAGTTGCTGCAATTATTATCGCCACTATTGAATGATTCGATACTGTAGGTGTCTCCACTTATTGAGCTTTGTTGGTCAGAAGAACATTGGAAATAATAATAAGTAGAGTTATTTTGAATTTCGACATTGTTGAGGAAAGAAAATACATTTGAGGCTTCAGAGAAAATTATAGATGAAATATTTGAAGAGAGTGTGTTTAAACGGAAACTAACTTGAGATGACATGATGTTGATGCTACCTTGATCATGGAGTTGAGTATTTCTACCAAAGAATGTAATGTTGTTGTTTAAAAATGAACCTGAAGAGACATCCAAATAAAAGATTGCATAGTCTATAGTTTCATCAAAATTGTTGTATTGGATAGAGATATTGCTATTCACTATATAAACAAAACATCCTATAAACTGAAAGAATGAAGTACTAGCCATATAGGATTGAATATTTGAATCTGTGAATGTAATTAATGTGTTGTGTGCTGAAAAAAATGGTTTGTATGATACACCGACATTGATTAAAGTTAAATTGGTAACCTCCATTACACCCCTTGTCACAAAGAATGTATAGTTAATATTTTGAAAATTTGAAAATATACATGAATGAAGTCTGAGTGTAATGGGTGCATAAGATGATGAAACAATTGAGCTGTAGGCTATAGAATTGGAAAAGTTTGAATTATAAAGATTGACTATAACATATGGATTTACATTATAATAGTCTTTATAAACACTAGCGGTCCAATCTTGTGATGGGTTATCTTCGTCACCATAGGTACCTGAGACCACAATCAGCGACTCATTAATATTATTACTTGATAAATATAACTGATTTAATGTAACTTGAACCAATACTCTTTGAGAGCCATCTATTTGAATCAATGAACCAGTTTGAGAATGTCCATCGCCGCATTGAATTGTAATTTGATTGATAGTTACCTCACTGATATAATAGTTTCCATCATCACTAGTTGGTGTAATATTAAAAAATGAATTTTGATTATTCAAATTGAAAAATACTGGTGATGTTTGATTTTCCATTGCTGTAATAGTTGCATTGTACCTGTATAGCTGAATTGAATTGCCATAATACTGTCCTGGATATAATATAAAATTAACTTTTGGAAAAGTTGCTGTTTCATTTAAATCCAATCCCTTTATAACATTATTATTAAATGATTCTACTGCGCCCCCAATGGTTTTACATGGTGTTGCTGTTTTATTTGCTATTGTAATGGAACATGATGGAGTATCCTCACCCTTAGATTCTGATACAAATATATCATAAAAATTTTTATTTATATTATTATTGTTATTATCATCACTACTGCCACTATTATTAAAATTATTAAAATTATTAAAATTATTAAAATTATTAAAATTATTAAAATTATTATTATTATTATTATTATTAATATAACCACTATTTATAGTATCTATACAATTTATATTTTTTATTAAAATAAATATTATAATTAAAAAATTTATAAATTTCATTTCATTTATTAAATTTTTATTTTTATTTTATTTTTTATTTTTTTTATTTTTTTATTTTTTTTATTTTTTTTTATTTATAATTATATTTATTTATATCAAATAAATATTTAATGTATTTCTGTTTTTATTCCTATGGATTTTTTTTTATAATTATTTAAAAGCAGCAAAGTTGTTGGAAATAAAAAACTAAAAAAAAAATTTTTAATTTATTTAAATTTTATTTTTTTAATTTTTTTTTTTTTTTTTAAAAGAATTTGGCACAGAGAATTCCTTTTTTTATAAACCAGTATTAGCTCATCAAAACTAATCTATTTCTCAAATAATTACCAAATCTAAAAAAAAACCTTTCAAAGGAAACCTCATGGAACATTATACCAAAATTTTTTATTTTTATTTTTATCATACATTAAAGCTATCATATTTTTATTTTGTTTTATACTTGTATGAGCTTTCCACACTGACATTTAAGTTGGACACAGTAACGTCAATTCGTGTGTGATTCTGAAAACCTACGAAAAAGAGAAATCAAACACGGAGATGCGGTGAATTCTTTCTTTTTTTTTTTTTTTTTTTTTAAAATCTTAACGATATAATTTATATTTTTGGTGGTAAGAGATAGTATTTTATCTATATAAAATTTTTAATAGTATCAATTGATACTTTAGTCTAGTATTCTTTTTTTTTTTTTTTTTAATATTCTCTATACTATTCTCCTTTAAACCAAACCCTTGTTCACCATTAAGTTGCAAAACTGAGTATTGAAAACTCCTTTTTTTTTTTTTAAAAGTAAAGATGATTCTTAATGATATATTAATTTTATTGAAAAATTTATATGAAATGTTTATTTTTTTTTTTTTTTTTTAAAAAAGCTTACTTATTAATATAATAAATATTATTAGTGTAAGTGACGGTGTTAATTTATTAAAATAAAAGAAGAAGCAGGTGTTGGCTAATTATCTAGTTTAAGTTGGTGATGCTAATCTTGTAAAGAAGTTGTTTAGTGCGTTAACCCTGTTTTTATATTTTCTTTCTTCTATATATGTAATGAACAAGGATCATTACTCAATAATAATCAATATTAATTAATAATAATTAACAATTATTTGATCTTAGTACCTTACATATAGTTCCATCGACTTTTTTTTTTTTTTTTTTTTTTTAAAAGTGAAGATAATTAAAAGCAAATGCTTTAAATTAATCAGTAAAATTTTATTTAATGTTTTTTTATAAAGTTTTTAAAGAAAATATTCTAAACTGTTGATATTTGGTAAAGATTTGATGCTGATGAAGTATGCTCTTGCTATTCTTCTTTTGAATTTTCTATATTCTTCATTGATGTTGCTAATTGTTTGTGGTTGTTTAGCGTGTCTTTCCTTGATGTTTTTTAAACCTTTTAAGTATTCTAAAGTAGCTAGTTTAGTCCATTTTGAGGTTAGATTCTTATAATCGAGTTCTTTTATTGTATTTTCTTGATCGTCATATAATTCTTTACATAACCAAATCCAAACTTGATGAAATACCAGGGCTATGGCATTTCTATAAGCGAAACATCTAGTTAAGTCGAAATCTATTGCTTTATAGTTCCATTGGAAGTGTGATTTGTGGAATCTGGTGTTGTTGTAATCCATATTTATTTCTCCATCGGATTTGCGACCTTCTGGGATTTTGTATGTAATATTTTTTATTGATATATTCCTTCTTGATCTTGTTATGTCTAGTGACCAATTGAGGCCCCTTCCCGAAGTAATGAATATAAATGATTTTAGTTTATTAAAGTTGATGAATTTCAGAGTTTTTTTACATTTGAAAAATAGATGACCATATGGATCATTATTAAGATTTTCATTACATAGTCTACATGGTTTGTTGTGAATGAAGTTGATGGGTAAGCATCTTGCTTGGAATTTGAATAGAGTGTTTCTTGATTTTGGATCTTTAATATTAAGTATATTATTGAATAGGTTGATATAGCTATAACCTGTAAGTTGAAGACATTGTTGGAATTCTGTTTTGGGTGTAAAGCTGTTGAGATTGTTTATTTCCGAATACCATTCTGCTAAAGAAAGAGGTTTGCCGTCTTTATTTTTAATGGATTTCAACCCGTCTAGTAGTCCTTTTTTAACTTTTATTTGTATCCAATCATTGTAGTTTTTAAATAGGTAATCTGAAGTTATTGTTTTGGTTGATATTTGATGTTTCCAACTGTGTTGATATTCTGATTCTATTTTGTTAGTTTCAATTTTATTGATTATTTGATTTATCATCCATAATCTTTGTGCTTTTTGTCTGTTTTTGATATTCCAAAGATTCCAACCTCCTTGATCCATAGGATAATTTGCTCTTTTAGAGCTCATTAATTTGAAGACTTTAAAACCATTTGGACTTTTATTGTTAGGTGCTGATAGGAACCAATCTGCAATTTTATTGATTTCTTTAATTTCATCATCGTTGAATTCTTCAATATACGAGTAATATGTTATTCTTGATAGTGCAAAGGATTTGAGGATGTTTACTTTTGTTTTAATTGAGTTACTTGTTGTTTTCCATAATGATAACGAGGATCTTATAGAATTCAGTATTTCTGGTAGTTTTCTATGGATTCCGGTACCTGTGAAGTAGTAACCTAAATATCTTTCTGGTTTATTTGATATTGGAATAACTGAATTTGTTGTGTCTGGGTTGTTGATTGTTATTGAAACTGATTTATCTATATTTAGTTTTGATGATGTTGCTGTGCAAAATTGATTGAAGTGTTGAAGTACCAAATTAAGTTGGTCGTTGTTATGAACCATTGATGATGAATCATCTGCAAAACCTTGAAATTTGATTCTTCTGTTTGTGTTGTCTAAAGGAAGTCCAATTATTGATTTATCTTCTAGTATTGATCTAGCTAAAGCTTCTATTACCATTACATAAAGGGTCGGTGATAAAGGATCTCCTTGTTTTACTCCTCGTCCTATTATAAATTTATCAGTATTTTTACCATTTATTTCTATTTTTGCAAAGGAATTTGTGAGTAGTTGCATAATAAGATTAGTTAGTTTGGTTGGTACTTGAATGTGTAATAGTGTTCTGTAAATGGCATCATGAGATATAGAGTCAAAAGCTTTCTCAAAATCATAAAAAGTAATGATTCCTGGTAGTTTGTTCTTGATACAATATTTGATAATTTCGTTTACAGTCATTGTATTATCTGTAATTTTTCTGCCTCCAGTAAAGCCTTTCTGATTGGGGTTAATTATATCAGGAAGAATAGTCTGTAATCTATTGTTGATTACCTTAGATTGTATCTTGTATAGACAATTAGCAAGAGTTATAGGCCTTCTATTTTTGATGAGCATAGGGTCACCTTTTTTTGGGATTGTTATGATTAAACCTTCTTTATATTGTAGATCAATTATGTGTGGGTTGTTTAGGGTGTCATTGAAAGCAGAAGCTAACATTGGTGCTAGTTTTTCTTTATGTGTGATATAAAATTGATTGGTTATTCCATCTGGACCAGGTGATTTGTTTGGATTTAGTTGGTTTATTGCTAAAATTATTTCTTCTTTTGTAAAGTCAGAATCTAAAATGTCCCATTTAGAATCTTTAGATATTTTCCAATTTTTGAGCATGTTTTGGTGGGTAATTGGGTCGTCGATTCGTCTGGAGTATAGATTTTCATAAGTGGATAAAAATTCTTTTTCGATATCGTTTTGACTTGTAAAAATATTACCGTTTTGGTCCTTGATTGCTGAAATATTGTAATCATTTGATCTTTGTTTTATCTTAGCTGATATATATTTGAGTGAAGTTTCTTCGCAATATTTATTTAGGTCGCTATTTAATCTGTAATTTAATTGTTTTGCTTTATTAATGGAAATCAGAGTTGATGTTGCATACGAATTATATTCTGTATTAAGCAGTGATTTTAAACTGTTTATTTGAATTTTTTAAAAATTTTGTAAAATTCGAACAAAAAATTCGAAAACCAAAATGTTTTTATTATTTTATTAAAAATAGCCAGGAAGATAGATGTATTAAAATATTGGAGAAGAAGGGTATCGATCCCTTTACCTCTCGCATGCTAAGCGAGCGCTCTACCATCTGAGCTACATCCCCGAATGCGAAATTAAGAAATGAGGAGGTTGCCTCATTTTTAATGACAAAAATTTCTTCTAAAAATAAATTAATAAAAGTCGTGTTAACCTTTGCACCATTCTTATTGAAGGGGTAAGTCAAAAATTCGTGGTAGAAATTAATACAAAATGATTTTTAAGGTGATTATTATTATTTTTAATTTTAATCTAAATTTTTTTTCTTTGTTATAACAATTACTACAGAGACTAATATAGCAGTACCATTTATCAAACCAGTTTTTCTATCTAAAGTTTTTTTTTTAATAGTTTTTTTTTAATTATTATTATTTGTTTCTGTTATTTTGAAATTATAAAGAATGAATGGAAAAAAAAAAAAAAAAAAAAAAAAAAAATTTTTAAAAAAAAATTTTTAAAAAAAAATTAAATTAAAACCCCACCACACAATTTTTCTTTTTTATAAAAATTAATTAAAAAATAGCTAGAACTGTTTAATTATTCCCATAAAATATTAACATTTCTTTGCTGCATATAAAAAAAATTTTAAAAAAATATTAATTAAGAAATATAAAGCTATTGGGAATTCAATATCCTAGCAGATGATCGGCTTTATTCTTCAATAAAAAACTTGTTGGGAGTTTTTTATTTCTGTTGTGTTATTCATTTGGTATACAAATATTTAAACTTTTCAGTAAAATATAATAGATGAAAAGTTTAAATATTTGTTATTGTGTTCTGGTTTGTGTTTTAAAAAACCTTTAGGAGGTTTTTTATTTGTATTTCCCATTTCAAATTTATTTTCAACAAATCCTTTCAATAAGGTGGTCCATCTTTCTTATTCTCTCAAGTATTGGATTTTATTCAATTGTACCTTTTTCTAGATTTATTTTTAAAATTCTCTTTACTGAGGACCTGCTGCACTCAATATTTCTTCTACTTTTTGATGACTTCCTTTTATGTAAAGTTTTAAAATCATTTTTCTTAATTCTAAAAAAAGGGTAATTTTAAGTTTTTTTTCTATTTTTAATGAATATTCTGTTTTTAATGAATATTCTGTCCTATTTGTTTTAAAAAATTAAAAAAAAAAAAAAAATTAAAAAAAATAATTATAAAATTGAATTATCTTTTCAAAAATTTAGACCTCACTTTTTTGGGCACTATAAAAAAAAAATTAAAAAAATCAATTATAAAATTTTATTAAACAAAAAAAAATAATAAAACTATTTAAGTTTATCTATAAAGAAAAATCATTAAAAAGACAGCTTTATCAAATGTGTCTGACTTGAAATCAGATAATTTTTTTTTCAAAAGATAAAAAAACGATAAAAATTTATTGTTTAGTTTTAATTTAAATATTGCCCATTATTAAATAACTACCATTTTATATTAAAATAAATTAAAAAAGTCCCTATAAACAATACATAAATAATATTTTTAACAATAGAAGAATATCACCCACTATTAATTTAAATAATAAATAAATAAAATATTAAAACTAAAAATAAAACAAAGACAGTTTTTTATTATTTTTTTTTTTAATAAAAAAATGACAGTATTTTAAATATTGTCATTATTGAAGAGGTACGATTATAACCATCAACACAATAATAAAAATAGTATCATATTAAAATTATTATATTATAATCTATTTTTATTATGATTTAAAAAAATTTTTATTCTCTTTTTTACCTATTATCGTTTATTGCACCCACTCCAACAGTGTATTCATTTTAAGATTTTTAAACAAAAATTATCTCTTTTTTTTAACTTTTTTTACTTATAAACCTAACAGCAGAAACACACATCATATTTTTTTTTAAAGATTCAATTTTTTTTTAAATTTTTATTAATTTTCATTTTTAAATAAAAAATAAAAATAATATTATTTGTTAATCTGTTTCATCTTACAATTTTAATCGGTTTATTTATGGGCAGATCTATACATTGAAAAGGAAAGAAAATGAAGTTAAAATTTACCTACACAAAAACCGATAAAATTTTTTTTATCTGTTTTAAAAATAATAAACATAAAAATTTTAGGTATTTAAACTCTTTTGTTTTTTTTATTTAATATAATTATCAAAACAATTCTTATAATGAAATCAAATAGTTTATATTCAATTATTTTTGTACTTTTTTTTTCAAGTATTTTAATTTCACAGGTTTCAGCAAGTTGTGAAATAGGTTTCATTAATTGCATGATTAAACATCCAAACGTATATACAAATGCAATCACAACATGTTCAAAAATTTACAAATCATGTGTAGAAAAAGATAATAATGAAAAATGTACTAAAAAGTGTGATGACGAGCTTGGCGGGTGTGAATTATCCAAGTTTGGAAATTGCGAACAGGAACATAAAACTTGTTTTGATAAATGTTAATTCCAATGAACATATACTGGGAGATTACACAGGTTTCTCCCTTTTCTTGTGATCAAGATTAAAAATTAATAAATAAAAAAAATAAAAAATAAAAAATTTGTATGTTTTTCAATAATTTAAAATTCAATTAATTTATTTAAACAACTTTAGTTTTTAATTTTTTCTTCAACATTTGTCTATATAAACTGGGTATAGTATTGAATATATGATCGTCTCAGTGTTTCCTGTTATTATCGTGGTGGTATATGATAGCTAATTGACCAGCTATAAAGATATTATTCCCACACCTAAATATAATTGTGGAATTGGATGGTCATCATAAAAAAATTATGTTTTTTATTTATTTATATATTTATTTGTCTTTGAATTCAACAGTATACTTCTTTCTAGTATATCTTCTTTTGATGGAAGTGTTGGTGTAGCTTTTAACGTTTTTGGTTGGATTCTCTTTTGCTTTTCACTGAATAATGAATCGACCAACATGCCATCTGAATCAAAATCCAATAAAGAGAATTAGCATGCCTCACCTATTTATAAGTTCAGACTAATGGGCTCTTATAACCATTTTACTATAAAGTTTACTCTTCAAACCAAAGAGTGGTGACTAACTTGGCAAAAGGGTTCGATATAAATTAGAAAATAAATTTTGAGTTTAGTTTTTAAATATATAGTTATAGTGAAAAAATAGTTTTACTAAAATTAATTAATTTTTATTTCTTTTAAATTTTTTAAATAATGAAAGCCAAATGAAAAATAATACTAATCCCAAAGTGCCAAAGATTAATAAGACATCTCTTTGAGACAAACTTGTTTTATCTAACAATAGACCCACCAATAGTTTAGCACATATATTAAATAAAGTCAACAGAGCATATTCAGTTCCAAAAACTCTTCCTCTAACTTCGTCGGGTAATAATTGTTGAAGGATACTACTGCTATACATCCAGATAATACATGTAGATGATGATCTAATACAATTGAAAACCAAATACAATACAAAGTTTTGTGATGATAAACCCAAGCAAAAAGTACAAAATGAATTTAAAAAGAAACCTATACTTAATACTTTATTATGATTGCTTGGAACATCTTTAACAATTCTATAGAAAAAAAAAATTAATATATATACATTAAATTTAATATTAAAAAATTAAAATTACCTTGCAAAAAACATTGGTATAATTAAAATACCCAAACCACCTGAACCTAAAATAATACCCAAACTTAATGAACTGTCGTCATTAATTTTAAATGTTGATTTTGAGAGTTCTATATTCATCATATCAGCTGATGCCCAAATAAAACTACCAGTGGCTTTAGCAAATGCAATTAAGAAAATATATTTATTTTTGATAAGATATTGAAAACCAAGCTTATAAACTTCAAAAAAACCACCAATAGCATTAAAGAACCCTTTTCTATTCTGAGAAGCAACTGGCTTTAAATTAGAACCATCATTTTCAATTAAGTCTTGACTTTCTTCATTTGAGCCTTGTGATGCGGAACTTGTTTTTTCTTTTTTATCGTTGATAGCCACTTGATCATTTTTAATTAATGAAACCTTGTCTTCTTTTTTATCTGCAACACTAGTATTTTGAGATTCTTCTAAACAATCCATTTCCAAATCCTTGTCTGCTGAAGATTCGATATAACCATTTTTTAAATGCTTTGTATTTTTAATTAATAAAAAAATGCAAATACCCGAGGCAATATAGGTAACTGAATCTAAAACAAAATTGATATCTGTACCAAATGCAAAACTGATAAACCCTCCAAGAGAAGCACCTATTAACATCATACTTGAATAACTACTTTGATCCACAGCATTGGCAGTAATTAAGTCACTTTTGGATACAATCGATGGTAATAATGAACTTTTAGCTGGATTAAAGAATGAACCAATACCATATTGTAAAAAGACCAATACATAAAGTAACCAAATTGAACCTTCGGTTCTAACAAGTAAAAAGAGTAATACCAAAACCATTCTAAGGGCATCTGCAACTATCATAACATATCTTCTATCAAAAGTGTCACAAATTACACCGGTAAGTGTCTGTAAAAGAAAGGGTGGCGACTCTCTAATTACCAAAAAAAAACTGATCATTAAACTGCTTGTTTCATAATTGCCAAGAATTGTAATACATGCGACTTCGTTTAACCAATCACCTGCCAATGATACCAATGATGCGATCCATAATAAAGTATAGTTTTTATTTTGAGTGATGAGTTTAAAGTATGGTGATAAAAATGTACATGATCTAACCTCGTCAAATGAATAAACCAAATCTTGATTATCGTCATCGGAATTATCATTGTCGTCATCGGAATTATCTTGTGCTGATGCCCCATCCTCTTCACCTGAAGATTCCTCAATAATCTCCTCGGTCTCATTCAATTGAATTGATTTCTGATTTGGTTGTATAAGGTTTTTTTTATTACTATTATTACTACTATTTTTATTATTGATATTATTAGTAGTAGAGGTTTTGGGGTTATCACCGTGTGCCTTATTATTTGTGTTGTTTTTATTATTTAAGCTATTGTTGTTATTATTATTACTACTCGGTATATTTGTATCAAACTTTACCTTTGGCCCTATATTAATTTTTCTCTCTGCATATTGTTGAGTTGTCGGTATTATTGGTTTAGAGTTTGGTGATAAAGGTGTTTGATTTGCTGTTGCTGAAGTAGTGGCTGTTGTTTGGTTGTTTGGCTGCTGTTGTACTTGCTGCTGTATTTGTTGTTGCTCTTGTTGATACTGCTGATATTGTTGTTGCTTTTGTTTTAATTTATTATAATACGATTGCTCATCTACATTTGGTTCGAAATAATCTTGAATGACCTCATCACGGTGCAATGAGCTTATTGTGCTGCCACCCTCTATAGAAATCTCCAAAACATCTGGATCCTCGTAACCCTGTGTAAACTCTAGTAATGATTTATTTCTTCTAAATGTTGTGGGAGCACTGTCACCGTTATTGTTGTTGCTATTATCGTTACCTTCACTTTCGCTGTGGTCATTATCTTCATCAAATAATTGAGTTTCTATAATTTCTTTTTCATTTTTGAAAAACACTGTACTTTTTAAACCCTTAGCACCACCTGTACTCATTGCATGATTACTGTCATCTTCTGGGAATCCACTAGATGCTCCAATATCGTTTATTAAATAGTTTGATGCCATTAAATTACTTTTAAATTTTGAATATATTTGATTATGATTGTATGCATCTACCATTGAATCCAATTCGAAATCGTTTCCACCACTTTCAATACTATTTCGTATGAAATCCATTCCATTTCTGCTATTCCCGCCTATATTATTTTGACTATTATTATTACTATTATTATTACTATTATTATTACTATGTACAGCGTTTAATATGGAATCATCTTCCTCTTCTTCAAATCCACCCCCATATATCATTATTTATTATTATTATTTTTTTATATATATTAAAAAAAAAAAAAAAACAATTATAATAAAAATAATTTTTTGTTTAATAAATGCAAACAAAAAATAATAAATAAAATTTATTTAAAAAAAAAAATTAATATTAAAAATAAAATATAAAAAAAATCGAAAAAAAAAAAAAAAAAAACGTAAAAAAAACAAATAAATGATATAACATGTCTTTTATATTATTCTAAACAATAATATTAATAATATAATTATTTTTGTTATATTCTTTATTTTTTGTTTTTATATTAATATAATTATTACAAAAAAAACAAAAAAAAAAAACAAGATAAAAACAAATTTTATTTTAAAATTTTTTATTGTTGTTACAATCTTAAATAAATAGGTAATTTTTTTTTGATTTTTTTTTTTTTTGTGGTAAAATTATTATTACTATTGTTAATTTGTATATCTAAAATATAGATATAAATTATAATAATATAATTTTTTTTTTTTTTTTGAATTTTTTTTTTTTTTTTAATAAATAAATTAAATAAATAAATAAATAAAATCGTAATTTGTAATTTTTGAAACTCTTGGATTAAAAGTTTTCTTTGTTGTAATGGAATTTACATGTTGAATGCTTGGTAAAGTGAGTGGCATTTTTATAAAGTGTTTTTGATAATAATTTTGGACCACAGAAGAAAACTCCGACATCTTTATTTGCGTAACGCAGAGCATAATCCGAGAAAATTTCATTCCACTTTGGTCTACCGAATTGAGTTGGAGATGTAAAACCAGTAATAAGATCTTTTTCTTCATCACCATACATGACATCTCTAATTTCTTGAGCAGATAAAGCACCAGTGAGATATGGGAAAATTTCTAAATAATTATTATGATTTTCCATTTCCAAAGCACCAATTAAACCACTAAACCAGGCAAATGAACTACGATCACGACAAATCCAATAAAAATGAACCTTTTCGATTAATGGAGTGGTAGTATAGGTACGAGCCAATTGGAATTTAATATGTTTTAAAATAGAAGCGAATGGAGTAACACCAATACCTGCACCAATTAAAATGACCTGTTTATATTTGAATACCTCTTCGGAAGCAGCACCATATGGACCGTCGATTCTTAAAATTGGCTTACCATCTGGGGCATTTAATACATTTTCTTGAACAATACCTAATTTTTTATCTGGGTTCATGAGTGTTGAAAGTTTACCGGTCCAATTACCAACTACATTAATATGAACTGAAACAAAATCTTCCTCTGGTGCTGATGTAATTGTGAATGGATGCCATTCGTTTTGTGCTATAGTTGGGCAATTTAAAAATAAATATTGACCTGGTTTGTATTTGAAATGTTCTGTTTTCATACGGAGTTCAATAACACGAGATGGATGGATTCTGCATTGCATCAACATTGTGGTTTTTTTAGAACGTAATAAACGAATAAGTCTTTCGATAATGTAAAGTGCACATGGACCAATAACCCATTTCCAAAATGATGTTTCTTGTAATCTACTGTGTAAACCGTGAACAACTAATAATCCAAAAAATACAATAAATAAATGATGACTGTACCAAAAATATTCAAACATTGGTCTTCTTACTGATTCGATTGCTGTTGTATACATTATAATCATTACAACTACGACAACATAACCTGTCCATCCTGCTAATGTTCTAAATGCAAGATCATATGCTGTTGTACCTTTAGCAATACCAAAATCATCAATTCCGTTATAAGCTGCTCCCTCTTCATATATTCTATAATTATTAAAATGTCCCATACTAAAAAATAAATAAAAAATTAATATTAGAAGAAAATTAAAAATGAAAATATAATAATAACAATTAACTTACACATGACCAAATGTTGCAAAACAGATTACCCAAGCAATACCTTTGTGAAAAGTAATGTTTTTATCGAATGGAACAAAATTATTTAAAAATGTGCCTCTGAGCCATGATAATAAATTACGAAGAACTGGGATTAATACCAAAGTGCAATTTATCTTTAACACCATTGCAAATGCTCTTGCAAAACAAAGACCATAACCTAATAATTCGAATGCTTTTTTGTGTGATTCTTCTTCTGGGAATCTATAAATATAAAATGTGTATATGAAACCTGCTGCATTTCCGAGAATATATAAAAGTAATATAACTAATTTGGGACCTTCATTAACCCAATATTTTTGGACCTCTTCTTTAGTTGGAAGTCTAAGTTGCATTTTTTTCTACAATATTATTATTACTATTTCTATATTTATTTTTTATATTACAAATTTGAAAATAAAAATAAAATTAAAAAAATTAGTATTTGTTTATTATTAAAATTTTAATATTATTAATAAAATTAAAAAAAAATAAAAAAATAGTAGGTGATGTGGTTGTTTGATAATAAATTTTTGTGTTTAGATATTATTTTTATTTTAAAAAAAAAAAAAAAAAAACTATTTTCAAATAAAATATTATTTATTTTTTTTATTTTTTTAAATAATTAAAACATACCTTTATTTATTTTAGATAATGAAATTATTTTATAAATGAAATAATAGTAATAAATTAATATTGTTGGTGAATGAAATAAAAAAAAAAATAAAAAAAGAAAGCCTAAAAACAAAAAATAGTTTCTTAAAAATAAAATATCTATGGTTGAAAAAAAAAAAATGAAAAACAATTTAAAAAAAATTAAAAAAAAAAAAAAAAAAAAAAAAACAAATTTATTGTTATCAGTTTATAATAAAATAATTTTAATTTTTTTTATATTTCATCCAAATTCTTATACTTTTTTTGACAAATAAATATTATTTGTTTTGAGTTTGGGTAAATCACATCCAAATTAAGTGAGATCATTAATTTTTTTATTTTTTTTAAATAAAATCTATAATTATAAATATTTATAATAATAAAAATATATATATGTATGTATATTTTTTATAAAAATCATTGACATAAAGAAAAAATAATAAAATTAGTTGTTTATTTAAATATTACAAAATAAATTGCTTTAATATTTAAATAATCATTTTATTTTATCTTTTTTTTTTTTTCTTTTTTTTTATTATTTTTTTTTTTTGATTTTTTTTAATTTTTTTTTAATTTTTTTTAATTTTTTTTTTATTTTTGTAATTTTTTTTTTTTTTTTTAAAAAATTTTTTAAAAAAAAAAAAAAACGAAGCATTCGTTATTTCATATATAAAAAAATCAATCAATTTTTTCTTTTTTTTTGATTTTTAATTCTTTTTTTCTTTTTATAAATATATAAATATAAATAAACAAATAATAATAAAATGTCATCATCAGAATCAGAATCAGAATCACCAAAAAAATTATACGTTTCACCAATCGCTAAACCATTAGCTGATCCAAAACTTACTCTTAAATTATTAAAATTAGTTAAAAAAGCCTCAAAAGAAAAGAAAATCAGCAGAGGTGTTAAAGAAGTTGTTAAACAAGTTAAAAAATCAAAAGACTCAAGCAAAAATAAAACTAGACTTTGTATTATCGCTGGTGATGTTAGCCCAATCGATGTCATTTCCCACATTCCAATTTTATTAGAAGAATCAGGTATTAAATATATTTACGTTCCATCAAAAGAATCTTTAGGTACTGCCTCATCAACTAAAAGACCAACTTCAATTGCTTTAGTCGATTTAGACTCTGAATCAGAAAATAAAAAATTATTAAAAGAATGTTTAGAAAAAGTTTCAGCTGTTTCAACTGTATGTTAAAATCTTTAAAATCATAATATATACCAATCTTTTAAAGATATACTAATTATTTTAATTTTTTATTATTATAGAACTAAGATAAAAAAAAAAAGGAAAAATCAAATATTTTTTAAAAAAAAAGAAAAAAAATAATAAAAAAAATAAAAATACAAAAAAAATTTAAAAAAAAGGGTTTATAGCTTTGTAGTTTATAGTTTATAGTTTTATAGCTATCAAGTTATTAATATTATTTATTACTTGATTTTAATTTTTTATTTAAATGTTTTTTTTTTATTTGTTTGGATACTTTAATATTTTATTTATAAAGACTAAAAATTAACATTTTATTTGCCCCATTGATTGCCACCAAAAGCTGGTTGGTTTGTATTACCAAAGGATCCAAAAACACTTGAATTTGATGATGATTGACCAAATACTGAACCATTATTATTAGTTTGGCCACCTCCACCAAATACCGAGCCATTATTAGTTTGACCACCTCCACCAAATACTGAGCCACCTCCAAATGGTGTTGAAGATTGTCCGAATACTGAACCGCCTGCTGCTGCGTTAGTTCCACCGAATGCACTAGTGGAACCGAATACACTTTGATTTGATGATGCTTGACCAAATGCAGAGGTTGTTGGTGCTGTTGAGGCGCCTCCAAATGCTGATGAATTACCAAATGCTGGTGTTGAAGTTGACCCAAATGCACCTGTTGTTGGGGTGGTTGAGTTTCCAAATGCTGGTGTTGAGGTTGAACCAAATGTGCCTGTTGATGAAGTAGTTGAGCTTCCAAATGCTGATGTGGTTTGGGAGGCTCCACCAAATGGTGAGCCACCTGTTGTTGTTCCAGCACCAAATGCAGATGTGTTACCAAATGCTGGTGTTGAGGCCGAACCAAATGCACCTGTTGATGGGGTGGTTGAGCTTCCAAATGCTGGTGTGGTTTGGGAGGCTCCACCAAATGGTGAGCTACCTGTTGTTGTTGAGGTGCCAAATGGAGTGGTGGATGAAGATGTTTGTCCGAATCCTGATACTGGAGTTTGAGAAGACCCAAATACACTTCCGCTACTATTATTTGAACTGCCAAAAACACTACCACTGGTTGTACCGCCTCCAAATACACTTGTTCTTGCAAATGCTGATGTATTTTGAGAGGTAGCACCAAATGGTGTTGTACTAGAGGTTGGTGAGGATGAGGTATTTTGTGTTTGTCCAAATGCTGATGCTGGGTTGGATGAGCTACCAAATACTGAGCCACCTGTAGATGAGGATGAGTTACTACCAAATACTGAGCCACCTGTGGATGGAGATGAGTTACTGCCAAATACTGAGCCACCTGTGGATGAGGATGGGTTATTACCAAAAACAGATCCACTTGTGGATTGAGATTGACCAAATACAGAACCACCAGAGTTATTACCAAAAACACTAGTTTGACCAAATGGTGATACCGATGATGATGGTTGACCAAAAACAGAGGTACTTGAAGGAGGTGAAGATGTTGATGAACCAAATACAGATGTGGCAGCAGGTTTAAATGCATTTCCGCTGAAAATTGAGGTATTGGATGGGGTTGATGTTTGATTTGCTGTACCGAATGGTGGGATTGTAGAGGCACTATTTGTGCCAAATGGTGAGGTTCCAGGGGTTGTGGTGGGTGTAGAGCCCAAACCACCAAAGCCATTGGTAAAAGTATCTCTGGCTTCTTTTTCTAATTTTTCTTTTTCAGCTTTTTCTTTTGCTTCATTTTCTAATCTTTCTTTTTCAGCCTTTTCTCTTGCTTCTTTTTCCAATCTTTCTTTCTCGGCTTTTTCTTTTGCTTCTTTTTCTAATTTTTCTTTTTCAGCTTTTTCTTTGGCCTCTTTCTCCAATCTTTCTTTTTCAGCTTTGTCCCTAGCTTCTTTTTCTAATCTTTCTTTTTCAGCTTTATCTCTAGCCTCTTTTTCTAATCTTTCCTTTTCTTGTTTTTCTTTTTCTAGTCTTTCTTTTTCTTTTTCTAATCTCTCCTTTTCTAATTTTTCTTTTTCTAATCTTTCTTTTTCTTGTTTTTCTTTTTCTGATCTTTCTTTTTCTTGTTTTTCTTTCTCTAATCTTTCTTTTTCTAAATTTGGCATAAATGCAGGAGAGCTTGTTAATGGTGATGGTGAGGCAATAGTTAGTGGTGAGGTTGATAAGCTATTTGGGAAAGATGGGGTGGGGACATTGGTACCAAATGGTGAGTTGTTTGACTTGAAAGAGTTGTTACCAAATGGACCTGGTGGTGCAGTGGCATTACCAAATATTGATGGGTTCATAATTGGTTTGTTATTTGAAATATTATTAATATTTGAAGTAGAGTAGTCTTCTTCCTCTTCAGAGTCGTATATCTCTTGTTCTTCATCATACTCTTCTTCTTCTTCTTCTTCTTCATCTTCATAATCTTCATAGTCTTCATCATCCTCCTCGTCATATTCTGAAAATTTATCAGCACTAAAACTAATTGTTGTTGGGAATGGTTTGTGTGGGGTTGAGCTAGTGGAGGAGCTGTTTGATTTAACTGGAGTAATATTTGAGTTAAATTTGAATGATGAGTTTGAAAAAGAATTGTTTTTACTGCCAAATGATGATTTATTTAATGATTCATCATTATAGTCATCTTCATCCGATTCGAGCTCTTCAATATCTTCGCTCTTGAAAAATCTTGTAAAATCTGGTGACTGTGGTTTAATGGTTTGATTTGATTTTCTCTTTAAAATTGATATTAAATTTTTATAACCATTTGATTTGACAACGTTTACTTCGTGACGATAGTTTTCGGCTGGTTGTCTAGCAGTTGCTACTTTACCATTGCTTACGGTATCCAATGATAGTTTTGAAAGTTGATACTCTGTGTATTGGGTGAGATCGATTGTATCATTTAATTTTTCTTTTTTTTCTTTGTTCAAGTTGATCTTATTGAATTTCTTTTCTATATTTTCGATCTTGTTTTTAAGTGAGTTTTCAGTTTGGGAGATATTTGCTAATGATTGGTAAATTAAATTGATAGAGTTGTGAGATTCGCCGTTTTGGGAGTTGGATGGTTGGTCTTTTTGCTGTTGTTCTAAGACTTTGAAATGGGTTTCAACATTTTGGACACCCATTGACAAGTCATTATAGGATTTCATTAATTTGTCTCTGAGCTCTAATGTTGATGGATCTAGTTTTCTATTAGCAAGTAAGTCTTGATAGTTCTTTTTGCTTGAATCTTTTAAATAGCTTTCTAAATTCAAAGATAAGGAATAGTATTTCAATACTTGAGAGTTTAATACTGAGCCTTGGTCTTCATTCTTTTTGGTTTGATTTTCTAATTGGCCAATAATATCTTGAAATTCTTCAATCATATCAATTTGATGATTTTCCAAATATCCTTCTTTAACCGAATCAAGTACTTTATTACCAACGATCGAGCTATCTCTAATACTTTGATAGTATTTTTCGATTGACTTTAAATTCTTTTTAATTTGTTGTGAAATTGGTGTCTTTGAATTATAAATACTTGTGTTTTCATATTTTTCAATACAGTTTCTTAAAGTTGGTGAATATGTATCTATTGAATTTGATTGAGATAGGTTTGCTAATGTTGCTGATTTTTTAATTGATGGTTGTTGTGGTTGTTGTAATGGCTGTTGTTGATTACCAAATAAACCACTAGTGGCACCCAAGAGTGAGGATGCAGATGTTTTGATTGGTGTTATATTTCCAATAGTTGGTTGTTGATTACCAAATAAACCACTAGTGGCACCCAAGCGTGAGGATGCAGATACTTTGATTGGTGTTATATTTCCAATAGTTGGTTGTTGAGTACCCAATATACCAATAGTGGGACCCGATGGGAAAAATGAAGGGGTCTCTAAAGGAGCTCCTTGTAGAGGTGGGTATACTAGGTATGATGGAGCGTCTTTCAAGACAGATGGTTGAGATGGTTCGGATGGTATTTGTGGTCCTTGAATAATTGGTTGACCTTTAGATTTTGTATTGAAAAAGTTTGAAATTTGTAATGAGCCATTTTCTAATAATAATAATAAAATTGGAACAGGTGGGTAGCTAGCATCCTCAGTAACCTTATCAATGTTTTTAGGTGGAGTGTTATAACATGTTACTAATGACATACCAACAATTGGTGGATCAATTGTTACTCTATCAGAGTCTGCTTGTAAGTAGTTTTCCCATTGACCATTATTATAATGAAAAATTTCTGGACCTGCACCTTTGTTTGATGCTAATATAACGATATTCCATTGTCTGATGTATGAACTTGTATAGACTGCAGTTTGGAAATTTGATAATGGGAAGAATGGTAATGGAAATGATTCGACCGATTCGTTGTCAATATTAAAAATATATAAATCTGAATCTTCGAATTCGTCTTGTTCAACTTTAAAATATTGAACAAAAATATATTTATCCAAAACTAAATTAATTGTTGATACTATAAAATAATTTAATAAAAAAGAGAGTTAGTATAGATTATATTTATGTATGGTATTGGTATGATATCAAACCTTTATAATCATCACCAATTGCATTTTTAAAAATTTTAATGGGTCTGGATGGGTTGCTTTTATCAATTAATAAAACGTCACCTTCGATACCAACAAATAATTGATTTGGATTTTTTGGATCCCAACATGCTAAATAAAAAAAATAAACAAGTTAATCTTCTTTTCTTTAATAATATATTTTTTTAATTTATAGCTTACCATCTAAAACTGAATCATTTGTTTTGATTTTATTAATACATCTCCTTGAAATATTTACTATATATAGGGAGCTTGATGTTGTAACGGCGATATATTCGTCATTATAGTTCCATTGACAAGAGTATAATGGCCCATCAAAATTATCTTTAATTTCCAAAACAAGTTTAAAATTTTTCAAACCCTGCATAGATTGTGAAAAAAAAGTTAGTATACTCCTAGGTGTTTCTTATATTTCTTTTTGATGCAACAGGATTACTTACACTTGATATAAAGTCTAAAATTGAATAGATTTTAATTACTTTTCCAAAAGAAATAGATAAATAACTATTGGTATTTGAAACAACAAGCTTAACTGTGCTTAAATTATCACCGTTGGTTGTAATGATGTTTGGTACTGTAATTTGATTTTTGATGAGTGTTGAGGTGAAACTATTTTCTATTTTGCTATTTTGAATATTGTCTAAAAGTTCATTGATTGAGAAAACTATTAAATCTCTTGATTGTGTTGGTGAGATCATAAATAATAACCCAAATTTATTTGAAATTGCTAATAGGTTTGAGTTGGAATCTATATGGAGTTCTTCATAGCATTTACTATTATCTGAATACTTTAATTGTCCCAAATTTTCTTTAAAATTATTGAATATTAAATGTTTGGTTTTATTTCCTTCTATAATTTCAATCTCTTTCATTTTATTATTATTATTAATACTCTATCCACATACACACATACAAATTACAATAATAGTGATAGGGGAACTAAATAAAAATTTATAGAATACTAAAATATGAAAGAAAAAAAAAATGAATTGAAGAAAATTAAAAAATGAAAAATTTTTATAAAATTTTAAAAAAAAAATGAATTTAAAAAAAAAAAAAAAAAATTTAAAAAAAAAAAAGAAATATAAATCATTTATTTTTATTTTTATTTTTTTTAATTTTATTAATAATAATCTCATTTCAATATTTCCTATTTCGTCTTTTTATTAATATGGTATTTTCATCTAATAAAAATTTAAAAGTTTTATAGTTTTATAAATCATTTTTTATTACCTTTTTTTTTTGTTTTCTTGTTGTGTAAAAAAAAAAAGAGTTTTTTTTATTAAACACAAATAATCAACCATGCATTTTGATTCAATGTCGCAATACCCATATATTTAAAATAACACTTAAAACTTCAACATAATAGTTATGACAATAAATGATGTTTTTATGACGATATATTTTTTATTTCCATTTATTTTAATTTGTAGAGCTTCACATACACTATCAATAGTAACAAGTAAAACACAGTTTTTTTTTAAACTTAAAAATTTGTTCTGCAGTTTTTATATTAATTTAAATGGATAGGGTATTATAAAAGATATAAAATAACAGTAACAAAGAAAATTATATTAATCAAATAGATTAAGTCTTGGTTTTTGACACCACTAAATTATTTATTATAAAACTAGGATGCTTTAGAAATTTGTATATAATCTATCATACCCCCTTCATATTTATTTTTTTCACCTAAAAAAAAAAAAAACATTTGTTGTTTGTTGTTTTTATTGTATTGCTTTTTTCATAACTTTTTGCAGAATTACCAATAACATAACATAACATAACATTACATTACATAACACACACCCCTACTACATAGTAAATAAATAAATAAATAATATTTTTTTCATTATTATTCTTTTAATTTAAATATATCTTTATTTATTTTTAGTTTTTATAACCACAAATAGCGTTTTTTTTTAAACACAACCAAATATTATATGTAATGATATATATAATTTAAATATAAAAACTATATTTAAATTTTGTCTCTTGAATAATTATAATAATGATGTTATTAATAATACATCTTGCAAAAATAGTTTTTTTTCTGTTTGTATGGATTTATTTATACCTCACATACATCTAAACTAACGCATATACATTTTCATTTATTATCGAAATTTTTTTTTGTCTATTTTTATCATTACAATAACTTTTTATAAGGTGTTTTTTTTTAATAATAACAATCACTTGTAATAATAATATTAATAACAACATCACGATAGGAATTGGTTTTTTTTTTTTTAATTTTGATGTTAATTTATTTTTATTTTCTTTTGTTGTTTGTTCGTTTGATCTTTTGATCTATTGTTTATATAAATGGTAAACACACAAGAAATTGAGTTTTTCTTTTTTTTGAAATAGAAAATTATAATTAATAAAAAAATATTTATTTGGAATAGTTGCATTTGTGTTTGTGTGTGTGTTTATTGTGTTTATTGTGTTTATTGTATGTGTTTATTGTGTTTATTGTATGTGTTTATTGTGTTTGTTTTGTGTTTCATTTTTTTCCCTTTGTTTTTTTTTTTAAGTGTCTTTATAACTTAATTTTTTTCTGTGATAAAAATAAATGCACTCTTATAACCCCCTCCCCATCTTTGTTCAAAAAGAAATATTAACACACTTATTTCTATAATTAATTTTTTAAAATTTTTTTTTTATGGGTGCACATTGTGTTTTTGGGTGTGTGTATCAACTGAATATTAAATTAATGTATATAGTGATGATAGAACACAATTGTTTCACACAACAAAGAGGCGGTGAATAATAATTTACCGTGTATTTTTGTTATTGTTTTTTTTTTTTTTTTTACTTTTATTATTATAATATATTATTTATTTTATTTATTTTTTAATTTTTATTTAATTATTTTTAATTTAATCAAAAGTATAAAAACTCATCTATAATTTTTTTATTTTTTCATTATTATATATTCGCATATTATAATCCTTACGGGTTCTTTTTTTGCATTTCATTCATTTTATTAATTTTTTATAATATTTATACTTTTTATAATATTTATATTTTATAATTTAAAATATTTTATAATTTCTTAAAAAAAAAAAAAAAAAAAAAAAAAAAAAAAAAAAAAAAAAAATGAAACACCAACACCAACATCATCACCATCATCACCAACACCAACAACAAAATTTATTTGAATTGGAAAGAAGATTTACCGTTCATCGTCGTCATCGTCTATCATATTTAGAAAGATACTCTTTTAACTTTACTCCTCCAGAATACCTTGTATTCTGTGGTGTTTTTGGTCGTGTATTTAGAATGTTCTTTAGAAGACTCCAAAGAAACTCTCTAGTAAAATTCACAAGACCCTCCATTGTAATCGTAAGTTATTACTATTTTAATAAATTTATCATTACTCCCATTATATATTTACTAATACTTTAAATACTATAGTTTTTAAATTATCTATGGGGATATATGCCTGCTACACAGTTAAGCAAAGATTACTCTGTTCCTCTAGGCCATTTTATGACAATATTCCATAGGGTTTTGGATAGCAAAGCTGCATTTGAAAGCGAAAATGTACCAGGTAGAAGAGTAAATGGTATTTTAAATACTGAAAACTGCTCCAGTTTATTGCTACTCAACTTATTTGTTCCAGTAGATGATCAAAAAGATTTTGTTAGAAATAACCCATTGTTCTTTAGTGGTATGTTTTAATATATTATATAAACCAATGATAATTTATTACAATAACTAATTCTTTATTTTTTTGTTTTTTTTATTAATTTTAGAAATGTACAAAAAGAATGGTATTACCATTCAATTAACCTTACTTGATAACAAACTTGTATCAATTGATGGTTTTAATTTCGGTAGTGGAGATAATTTCGAATTCGCTGGTGTTAAAAATCCTCCAAAGAACCTAACAGTACGTGAAGTCAACATTCTATTCAATGAAGAGACACTCAATTCAAAGTTAAGAAACTTCAGAATCCATACACAATCTGGCCACTCTGTCGTTGATATTCTATTACATGTCTCCAGATTTTCTATTTTAGGAAACGGATCTTATAGAAATGACCCAGATGATATTCTTAAAATCTTCCAAATTTTGTTTTATCTTTCAAAATTATTCCTTTCAGATAACCATTGTTAAAAATAAATTATAAAAAAAAAAAAAAAAAAAAAAAATTCATTTCAATTATTTTTAAATAAATCAATAAATAAATCAATAAATCAATAAAAAATATATATTTTAAAAACTTTACTTTTTTAAAAACATTTAACTTTATTTATTTTTTTTTATTTATATTTATTTATATTTATTTATATTTATTTTAAATAAAGTTGGTAATAATTTGACCTATTTGGTCCTTGAAAGGTTATTGTTCAGCTGATTTTGCTTGTGAAACTTTATCTACTACTTTAAGCTTGTGAATATTAGATGTCCACATCTTTTCTCTAATATCACGAGAGAGAATAATGCATCCTTCTGAGGCAGACTTATCACCCTTTGAATTATCACCATGAATTTGAAAACTATCACGACCCTCCATATTATTTTCAGGAGAAGGAGTAAGATCCATTGCATATGCCCCTGTTTTATCACTTTTACGTGGCTCATTCATTGTGTAGGTACCCCTTGGAAGTGGACCTTTGCTTTTGACACCTTGAGAATCTGCTTTGTTAATATGTGTTCCATTTCCTGAATATCCTGTAGCTACATGTTTGTTTGATGAGTCGTATAATTTCCCAGTTGATTGTTCATATGTCCATTCTTGATCCATTTTATATAAGATACCAATATTTTAAAAAAAAAATTTATATTATTAATAATGAAAATTACAATTGTAATTAATATTTATATTAAAAAAAAAATTAAGTTAAAAATTTAACACTTTAGGGGTTAATTTTAAAAAACTTAAAAAAAAAAAAAAAAAAAAAAAAAAGTAAAAAAAGGGGGATTTACAATTTCTACAAATATAGTAGTAAGCAATCTAAGTGTTTTTTACATTAATTAATTTGATAATATAATAAAATTTAATTTTTTCATTTATTTTTTTAATAAAATAATTTAAGGATTTTTTATTAAATATATTGATAGGGAAAATTGAAAAGTTAAATGTCCAGCTAGAAAGCAAGTCTCAATTATTTAAAGGAAAAGAAGGTGAAATTAAAGAAAAGGATGAAGCAATTGATGACGGTAACATGAATATCAAACAAAAAATTAAATATTTATTGAAAAAGAGAAGGAATATTTTAACTTGAACAAATTAAAGATTTAGCAATTTTTTAATTGATTTTACTCAATTTTTTAAAAAAAAAAAAAAAATTTTAAAAAAAATATTTGAAAATTTTCAATTAAAAAAAAATGCACAAAAATTTTTGCACATCATAATTAATTTTCACCTATTTATTTAATAATTAGGAATGTGTTCTATATTTTTAGGTTTGGGATTTTCAAAATACCATGTTTAAGGATTTTTTGTCTTTTCAAACCCGATTTTTTTAATTAAAGCAACATTTTTTTTACTCAAAAAAAAAAGTGTTGAAAATTGAACACAAATTTTTTTTATTTAAAAACCATTACCATTTCATTTAAAGAAAAAGGAAAAAGAAAATACATTGCTATATAAAACAATGAAATTAGAATTATCACTATTATTATTACTATCTACAATTTTATATTACTGTGCTGGTGTTATTGTTACATCCTCATCACCAGGTGCTATCGACTCTGATCAAATAAATACTGAACCAATTGCATCAGTTTATGGTAGTGTATTTAGCAATGGTGCTTCAAATGGTATCCAACCAATAGGCACAACTTGTGAAACTTTAAAAGATAATTTAAATGCAGAGTACTATCCATTAATGATTTTAAATTCAACAGCTTGTATGTATTTATTATTATTTTAAATAAATAGTAAATATACTAATAAATATACTGTAAAATTTAGATTTTGCAAGACAAATAAATAGCAATGCTTTAAATCTTGCTGTTGTTACAAGTCAAGGTGTATATCCGCTTGAAATCCAACCAAATCTAATTAAACTAGTTGCATTATATAATATACAATCTGAACTCTCATATGATGATACTATTGGCGAAGCTGGATCATTTATTTTTGTTGATAAAAACGGTAACATTATTATTTATGATATTTTCAAAGACATCGTGTAAGTTTACAGTTTAACTATATAAAATAATAGTCCATTGATGAACTCACCTATTAACCTATTCTAAAAAATTCATAATTTAAAAACAATATAGACAATCAATCGAATTATTATTTGAAATCGAATTTAACACTCCACCATATTATAACTATAACTCTAAGCTTTATTATATTTCAACTTATGATTCATCATCATCACAATCCATTCTTGTCGCCAACCTTGAAGAGTATAGTACCAATTTTTATTCAGTTGACAATCTTAATCTAAAATACTCCATCGATTCAATTCAAACAAGTGGCTACAATAATCAAATAGTTTTATTCGGTTCAAATAAAGTAGATCAAAAATCATATTTATATTTAATGGACCCATACGGTGGTACATATCAATTTTTAGGTTCTAAAGATTTTAATACTACAATGATAACTGGTTTAAATCCACAATATATTTTATTCGAGAATCAAGAGGGTACCTTAACCGAATTATTAAATTTACAAACACAAAAATCACAAACATATGAAAATACTTGCTTTGATATTCATTATATTAATACTTTCTTAACATCTATTATTCCAAAAGATATTTTTACAAATTAAAATATAATAAATAAAAATAAATATTAAATATTTAATATTTATTTCAACTCCACCCAATTGTTTTATTTTTTTATATTTCTATCGAAAATTGTAATTATATTTTAAAAAAATCCTTTTATTTATCATAGGATTTTAAAAGCATTAAATAAATCAATACTTTTAATTATTAATACAGTTTTTTATATTGTGATTTTTATTACATATTATAAAACATTTTTTAAAATATAAAATTCATATGGAAAACATATTTGGTAACAACCCCAAAATCAATTTAAAAAATTGAAAATGAAATTGATTAAATTTCATAAATGCAAAACAAAAACAAAAAAAAAAAAAAAAAAAAAAAAAAACTGTTCGAATAATAATATTTAATAGATAAAAAAATAAAATTTTTTACAAAAAAAAAGGGGTAAAAATTTGGCCCACTAACACCCACTTCCAAATAAAATTTTTTATTTTTTTTTTCAAAAAATACACATACAGCCATAATAATAGTATAAAATAATATAATTAATAAATATAATATATTTATATTAATAAAATTAATAAAAAAAAAAAAAAAAAAACACAAAAATGCTACAACTGTTATCATTTACAATAATTTAACTTTTTTTTAAATTACCTTAAATAATAATAATTGATTGTAATAATAATATAAAAAAAAAATTAATTATATTTTTAAATTATTTTTTCGTTTTTATTACAAATAAAATAATATTAACCCTATTAATAAAAATTGTAAAATGGATAAATTTTTGTATGATCCTAATAATAACCAAACCAATATGAACAACAATAATAATAATAATAATAATAACAATAAAAATAGTGATAATGACAGTAATTTATTTATTAACAACCAAAATGAAAGTAAATTAGTTTTTTTAATAAACAACACCAATGATGATCCAATTTTTTCAAATGAATTTACAAAAAAAAATACACTAGATCTCGATCAATTGTTGGATATTGATGATACCGAAGTAGATACAACCAATGTGGAGTACCTTAGAATATTAGAAATATTAAAAGGTGAAACAAATAGTGAAAAAAATATGTAAGTGAAAACTATTAATAAAAAAAAATAAAAAAAATAAATACTGACCATATTTTTTTTTTTTATAGTTTTAACGAAAATATGGATACTAGGGATGGAAATTTAGGTATAAATAAAAAATAAATAAAAATAAAAAATAAAATAAAAATTCTTTATCTAAAAGATTTATTTAATTAAATTTTAAATATATTTTATTTGTAGTTTAGAAATTTATTTGCTATTGACTAAAAAATCAATTAATAATTTTTTGTTTGAATTGTCAATGTTATTGGATGGAATATTTTTGCTAATGGTTCTATTATTATTATTATTATTATTATTATTATTATTATTATTATTATTATTATTATAATGGACAACACTACTATCAATATTACTGCCTGGAATAGTATAACCGAAAATACTGGCATTTCTACTGATATTTAAATTGACTTCCTTGGAAAGCTTTGACATATTTGTTATATCAATATTTGTTTTATAGATATTGGAATATGGATTAAAGTTTGGATTGTAGGATAAATTGTAATTATTATTATTATTAAGATTATTATTCATATTATTATTATTATTATTATTCATACTATTATTTTTATTGTTGTTGTTCTTATTATTATTCATAATATTATTAATCATATTATTATTATTATTATTATTATTATTATTATTATTATTAACTTTTATATTATGAGTGGTATTATTGAATGAATAATTACAGTTATTATTATTAATTCTACTATTACCGATAATATTATTTTTATTAACAATATTATCTTGATTGGAGAAATGACTAAATGGTGCAGCTCTATTATAAGTTCTATAATGGACAAAATCCTCTAAAACAGTGGTATGTTTGTTATTGTTATTATAGATATTAACATTGTTAAATAAACAAACATTGTTGTTAGATTGAATTGGAGTTTGGGTTTGGGTTTGGACTTGGATTGGAGTTGTTGGAGTTGGAGTTGGAGTTTGGATTGGAGCTGGAACTGGGGTTTGAGTTGGTGATGGTGTTTTTTCTGATTTTTTTGTTTTTTTTCTTATTTGAGTTTTTTTAGGAGTATCGGTAGCTCTAGTTATATTTTTCTTTTTTGTAACAGAAGAGGGGGTGATAGTGATAGCAGTAGTTCCATCTTTATTATAAAAAGTTCTAGTTCCATCTTTATTTCTTTTCTCATTAAGAAGGAAGTCCAAAGAAAAGGTTTGTTGAGCATTATTTCTTCTTTGGCTTAAAAGATTTCTCTTTTTGGATTCTGTGAGGTTGTTAACAGTGTAAACTCTATAGTCAAAAGTTTTAATACGTTTTGGTATATATTGACCTTCTACCACTATAATCTCACCATTGTTAATATCGTATTCTTCTTCATAGAAACGATAGGAATCACCAATATGACGGTTTGGATCGTAAAACATATTATGCATGATACCATTTCTAAAGAATACATGTGATGCTTTCTTGCTGTGTCTCTTAGAGTTGAACCATATTTTGATCTTTTCTTTGGCAACACCATAGATTAATGAAAAGTATTCAATGTTCTCTTCAGTGGGATATGGGAAATTGTTGAAGAAATAGTTTAACTCTTTGGTGGTTTTAGAAAACTTTGAGATAAAGTAATCTTTGTAGGATGTGTTGTTAGATTTCTTTAAGTTTTCCCTCTTGTGCTTGTACCATGTGACGACTTGATCGACGGTCATTTCTAATTGGTAGGCGATGATCTCTTTCTCGATGGAGTCTGGGAATGGGTTTTTACGGAAGCAATACTCCAACTCTTTTTTAAACTGTCTAGTTTTCTTGGATCTGGTCTTTTTGACCTTGATTTTTGGAGGTTCGTTAGCATTTACAGCATTTACAGCACCTACAGCATTTACAGCATCTACAGGTTTTACAGGATTTTCAGCATTAGCATTAGCAACACCATTGGCGGTCTTGGTAGCATTTACAGCACTGGTAGCATTGACCTTCTTTGCTTTTACATTCTTTTTAACCATTTTTTTTTTTTTTTAAATTATTTTTTTCTAAAAATATATTTATTTAATTATTGATACACTGCAAAAGAGAAAATGAGAATGAAAAAATGAAAATGAAAAAAATGAAAATTAAAAAAAAAATTTTTGAAAAAAATAAATTTGTGGTTAATAAAAGAAATTTGGATCTGATAATTTTTTTTTTTTTTTTTTCTATTATACTTACAGTTATAAATATTTATTTATCTGTTAATGTTAACAAGTTTACTAGTACTTAGATACACCGAAATAAAATATAGTATTTTTTTTTTTTATTTATGTTGGAAAAAAAAAAAATTTTAAAAAAAAAAAAAAAATTTTTAAAAAAAAAAAAAAAAAAATTTAAAAAAAAAAAAATTTTCGTAGATTTTTGGGGAGGGAATTCAAAAACATTTTTTTTTTTTCCATTTTTTTAATAAACCCCCCAAACCTTTTTGATGCAATATTTCCCCCCCGAATTTAATTTATGGAGATAAAAAAAAATTTTTGATTTTTTAAAAAAAAAATTTTAAATTTTTTTTTAATTATAATTTTTTTATTTAAAATGGTGGGCTGAGTTTGAAATGGGTTGACCAAAAAAAAGGCAAATTAGGATTTTTTGCAATTTGGCGTTTTTTTTTTTCATTAAAAAGGGGCGAGAAAAAATTTTTTTTTTAAAGGACAAGGGAACTTAAAAAAAAAAAATCAAAAAAAAAAAAATTTTAATGGGGGGTTTCAAAAAAAAGCAAAAAACCAAACCAAAGTGCAAAACCCAAAAGAAAAAAAAAAAACAATTTTTGGGCAAAAGAAAAAAAAAAAAAAAAAAATTTCGGTATTCCAAAAAAATAAAAAAAAAAAAATTTTCGTTTATTTTAAAAGAAACAAATAAAATTAGGGAACCGCGTTTCTCTTTTTATGGTTAATTTTTTGAAGAAAAAGAGCAGTTTTTAAAATTCAAAAAAGAATTAAAAATTTAAAATTTTTCTCCCAAACCCCTGGGTTTTTTTTTTTTTTTTTTTTTTTTTTTTTTTTTTTTTTTTTTTTTTTTTTGGGGCCCATAGTTTGTTTTTTTTTTTTTGGGGCTTTTCCAAAGATTTCATTTTCAACAAACAACCAACCAACAATCTTTTATTTTTTTCTCTTAATTTTTTTTAGATATTTATTTTTGTTCTAAATTTTTTTTTTTTAATTTTTTTTTTTTTTTTTTTTTTTTTGTGCCCATAATTTGTTTTTTTTTTTTTTTCCTCGCGTGCTCCATCTAAATTTTGTTAATAGCAGAAAAATTAAATAAAATAAATCAAAATGGCAACAAGTTGCGGTGCTGGTGAAATTGTAAATAATTTTTGTTCATCTATTGAGGGAAATGTGTTGAGAAAAGGTTCAGAAGAATACAAAGCATCACTTTTAAATCGTTGGAATTTAGATGTTCAAAATGCACCACTCTTGATAGTGTTCCCAAAAAATATAAATGATGTTGTTAAAGCTGTAAATTTTTCAAGAGAGTGTGAATTGGATTTAGCAGTTAAATCGGGTGGCCATGGTATCTCATCTGCATGTGTTAATGGTTTATTAATTGATTTTTCAAAAATGAAAAATATTAAAGTAGACCCAGATACTAAAACTGTTAGAATTGAAGCTGGTTGTACTCTTGGAAATTTAGATGACGAAACTTCAAAGTTTGGATTACATATTCCATCAGGCCATGTTTCACACACGTAAAATATCATTTTATATTATTATAATTTATAATTGGGTTTTTAAAAAAAATATATATTTATTTAATTTTTGTTTTATAAATAGTGGTTTAGCAGGTTTAACATTAGGTGGTGGCATTGGTCATTTGTCTAGAAGTCTTGGCTTAACATCAGATAGTTTGTTAGAGATTACAATGGTAGATTATAAAGGTGATATATTGGTTGTAAATGAAGAAACCAATCCAGAGTTACTTTATGGCATGAGAGGTGCTGGTAGTAATTATGGTGTTGTTACTGAATTTGTATTTAAATTGCATCCAGTTTCCAATGTTTATTTAGGCACATTTGTATATAAGCACGATAATTGCAAAGACGCTTTGGTAAAGTTGGGTGAGCTTGCATCGGATCCAAGCACACCAAATGAATTGTCATGCGCTATTTCGATCACACCAGAGGGTGTTGCAGTAATGGCAATTTACAACGGTACAGAAGAGAATGGCAAAGAGATTATTGAAAAGATATCCACATTTGGTTCACCCTTTGTCAGCAGAATTAACATGATCCCATATGTCATGCTCCAAAAGGTTATTGACGACAAAGTACCACACGGTCTAAAGTACTATCAACGTGGACCATTCATTAAAGATTCGCTTAATAAAGAGATTGTTGACATCATCATCGACTCGTACAATAGCCACCCAACCAAATCAGGAGCTATTCTCTTGACACATTTAGGCGGTAAAGTAAGAGAGACACCAAAGGACTTTTCTTCATTTGCACACAGAGAGGCCGAATACCAAATCATCCTTCTTTCCATCATTCCATCAGATGACACCAAGCAAGCTATTCGTCAATGGACCGTCGACACACATACAAAGCTATCTAAATACTGTTTCGGTGATTATTCTAATACTACAGATGGTTCACAACCAATGACTCTTGTTTATGGACATTGCTATGACAAATTGGTAGAATTGAAAAATAAATATGACCCCACCAACTTTTTCCATAATAATGCTAATATCAAACCAAGTTTAGATGCTAGTAATAATATGTAAAAAATGTTAATAATGCATCCTTTTTTGTAAAACTAAAAAGAAAAATAATAAATTATTTTAAAATTTTAAATTAATTTTTTTTTTTGAAAAAATTAAAATTTAATTTTAACACAATTTTTTTTTTTTTTAATTTTTAATTATTTTCATTCAATATGCAAGATATTGGGGAGGGGGTTATTAGTGCATTTCAGGTATCAATTGAAGGTGTTGTCCAAAGAAGAGGCTCAGAAGAATACGGTGCATCTCTATTAAATCGTTGGAATTTAGATGTACAGAATACACCAATCTTAATAGTATATCCAAAAAATATTAACGATGTTGTAAAGGCGGTAAATTTTTCAAGGGGCTATGGATTGGACTTTGCAATTAAAGCGGGTGGTCATGGTACAACGTCTGCATGTAAAGATGGTTTGCTAATAGATTTTTCAAGTATGAAAAAGATTGTTGTTGACCCAGATAAAAGAACTGCTACTGTAGAGGCTGGGTGCTTACTTGGTGAGCTGGATTTAGAGACTTCAAGATTTGGTTTGCAGGTTCCATCTGGACATGTCTCTCATACTGGTGTTGCGGGTTTAACTTTGGGTGGTGGTTTGGGACACTTATCAAGAAGCTTTGGTCTAACTGTAGATAGTTTGTTACAAGTTACCATTGTAAACTATAAAGGCGAGGTGATGACGGTCAACAATGAAACAAATTCAGACTTATTTTTTGGAATAAAAGGTGCTGGTTCAAATTATGGTGTGGTAATAGAGTTTATTTTTCAACTACACCCAGTTCCAAATATATTTCTAGGCACATTCATTTATCCATTGGATGGTTGCAAAGAGGTTTTAGTCAAATTGGGTGAAATAGATAGAGATCCCCAAACACCATGGGAGCTATCGTGTGAAATATCAATAACATCAGAGAACATTGTAATTTTAGCAATTTATAATGGCAAAGAAGAGGATGGTAGACCTTTGGTTGAAGAGATATCGAAAATAGGTGCGCCGATAGTCAGCAAAATGGAAAATATCAAATATGTAGATTTACAGAAACTAATGAATAGTAAAGTGCCTCCAGGAAAATACTATCAAAGAGGACCATTTTTAAAGCACTCCTTAAATAGCGAAGCCGTTGATATCTTATTAGAAGCCATCAGCGACCATCCAACTAAAACTGGTACTTTATTATTAATCCACTTGGGTGGAGCAGTCACAAACCACCCACTCAAAGATACATCATCATTTCCATACAGAAACGCCAAATATCAATTAATTATATTTTCAAAAATAGTATCAGAAGACTCAAGAGAATTAATTCGTCAATGGACTTTCAATACTCACTCAAAATTATCAAACAAATATTGTTATGGTGATTATTCAAATACAACAGATGGTTCACAACATATTTCAATAATCTATGATCATTGTTATGATAAACTATTGGACTTAAAAAATAAATATGACCCAACAAATTTTTTTCATAATAATGTAAATATAAAGCCAACCTTTATATAGTAAGTAAATATAAAAAAAAAAATAAAAAAATAAAAAAAGATAAATTCAAATAAAAAAAAAATAAAAAAAAAAATAAAAAAAATAAGAAATTTTAATAAAAAATTAAATTATTTTTTTTATTATTTTTTTCCTACACCTAATTATTTTAAAATTTAATTAAAATTTTTTTTTTATTATTCATATAAATAGAAGTGTTTTTGGTTTTTTTAGTTTTATTAATAAAAACTATACTTATAGAAATGGTAAAAGATAATCAAGATAGAGAAACTGCTTTTAGAGTCAGAAATTTAAAAGATCAAATTAAAAGAAATAATGAAGAGTTTATACAAAATCAAAAGCAACAACAAGCAAAGACTGAACATAAAAATGCAAGTGGTGGTAATACAAATTCATATGAAAAAGTAGGTGGCAATTCATTTCATTCAAAAGATCAAAATACATATAAACCACGTGAAAGTTTTTCAGATTATTTCAAGCAAAAGAATATAGAGTTTGATTTAAAGAGTGGCGAAGCCAATCCACCCAAATTAAATGTATCAGAGTTTTATAAAGGTTTTGTTAGATTCAATTCATATGCATGGGGTATTGCTGCATCATTTGGTTTGGTTTGTTTTATTTCATATAAATTGATAGATAAAGCTTCAAAATTTGCATCTTCAAATAAAGAACAAGAACAAAAACAATAATTCAACAAAAAAATTAAAATAAAAAAAATAAAATAAAATAAATTCAACTTTCAAAAAAAAGTAATAATAAATTATAATTGTATATATGGACACAATAATGGCAATAGTATATAAATAGTTTTTTGTAAATAACAACATGGTAATGATAATAGGACCCCTTTCTTATAAATAAAGTATATCTCAATAAAATTTAATATTATTTTTCTTTATGTTTTACCTTATTTATCATATATTATTTTCTCATAACCCCATTACGTTTTTTTTAATTATTATTATTATTTTTTTTTTTTGTAAATAAAAATATTTTAATGCCATTTTTGTGCATATCTGTAAAAAAAACAAAAAAATATATTGTTTTTTTAATTTATTTAATTTTTTTTCAAATAATTTAGTGTGGGTTAATCTACAAAAATTTTTGTTTTTCATTTTGATTTTACATTGAATTTAAAAATATAATAAATAATTTTTTTAATAATTACTATTTTTTAATAAATAAATAAATTCATTATTTAATTTAAATTTAATTTTTTTAATTTATTTTTTTTTTGTTAAATTGGTGTATAAATAATAATTTTTTTTTTTTATTCATATCAATAATCATAATCATAATATTAACTCAATAAATAAATATTAAAAAACATATATATAAATAATTAAATAATAAAATGGATAACTGGGAAAAAGATAAAGAAAAAATTATGAATACTGCCAAAAATGCCAAAGAAACTGTTACCTCTGGAATTAAGAATGCCAAAGAGAATATAGGATCTGTTGCTTCCGGTATTAATGCTTCCAAAGAAAACATCTCATCAAATCTCAAAGATGCCAAGAGTACTCTCAATGATGCTAAATCTAACCTTGGTTCTAACTATCAAAACATGAAGTCAAATCTCAACAGCAATATAAATGCACAAAGAGCCATGCAAAAATCCTCTGGTAACGGTTGGCTTTTGGGTATCGCTGTTCTCTCTATTGCTGGCTATTTCGGTTGGAAGCAATATCAAAAGAAACAAGACCAAAAATTACTTTGGAACAATAAAAGACAACAAAAAGATGTTAAATAAAATAATAAAATAAAACAAAAAAACTTTATTAATAAATATAAAAAAAACAAAAACAAAAAAAATGGATAAATAAAGAATATATTAAACTAAATTTTGCATTAAAATTAACATTTTATATTATTTTCTAATTTAAAACTAACTGATATAATCTATTTTTTTTATTTAATAAAAAAGAAATTAGTAATATATTACTAATATAACATTAAACATTATATCAAAATATATCTATTATATATTTGTTATAATGGTTTAATAGGTACCCTTTTTTACATTTAAATCAGGATTAATAGCAGGGCCATTACCATAGTCACCAGCAAAATCGTATCAAGAATACAGTTGAATATGAAAAAACATAGCATTTTTTTTTTTTTGAATGATATTTAATAAATATTAATATTTATTATAATTATCATTTAGTTTTTATATTTATAAAATAATTAAATTTGTAATTGTTTTATTTTTAGGTATAATGTTTAGATTTATTTAAATATAGATTTGGCAGTTATATAATATTTAAATTTATTAATAAAAACAAACAAAATTAAAATTTATAAAAAAAAAAAATAATAAAAATTGAAAATATAGGTAGATATATATTACATACTTTAAAGTATAAATGATAACCAGTGAAACGAAAGAATCATGGTTTTGATTTCTTTTTTTGAAAATTTTTTTTTTTCAAAATAAATAAAATATTTTTTTTTAATTTTTATTTTTTATTTATTTTTTTTAATATTGCATGATTTTTATTTTTTTTATTTTTTTTTTTTATTTTATTTTTTTAATTTTTTATAATTATTTATATATATTTATTTATTTTATTTATTTAAAACCATTTTTCTTCTTTTTATTTTATATTAATAAAATATAATTCTTTGAAAATAAAATGAATAAAGAAGAAATTGGAAAATTTTTGATAGGTAAAGGGTATTATCTAACAGCGTTAGAGTTTTATCAAGAGTTAATGGAAGATGATGGCACAGAATTACAATCGTTAAGAAATTATTTTAATAAAGAGATAACAGAATCAAATACAAGCGACCCAGTTCGTTCAGTTAGAGAAAAGAAAAAGAATGAGGGTGGTAATAATAATTTATCAGCATATGAAATGGAATCGTTAAAATCAAAGGATGATAAAATTGCATTGTTAGAATACGAGTTAAGAAAATGTAAAGAAGATTTATATAAAACCAAGTCACATTTAAATACGATCAAAGGCTCAACAACAGCAACATCACACCAAACCCCACCTCCACAATCAATTAATGTTTCATCACCACACTCAATAAATGGAGCAAATGGCAATACTAGTCCGTTGGCAGCAAGCAGCAGTAATGTCTTTTTATCATTGTCAGAAGAGGATAAAGATACACTAAAAGAATTATCCAAGGAAAGAATTAAAGCCCATGAATTAAAGATATTAAATTATTTGGTCAAAGGTTATTTAAAAAAGAATAATTATACACTTACTGCAGTATCAATGTCTGAAGAGATTGAAGATGATATTAATCATTGGTCTGATATTAGTAAAAACAGTGCAGAGCCACCTTCCATTTTAACAATGTACCGTTATTTCTTTGAAAATGGTGACTCAGGTATTCAAGGCGCCTTGTCAAAATCAATGACCGAAATTGCAAAATTAAAAAAAGATATTTTAGAAACAGAAACAAGTTTTAGAGAATCAAAACAAAAAATTCAATTACTTCAAAAAGAAAATAATGAATTATTAAATAAAGTAAGTTATATTGTTCTATTTAATATTTATATTTTACATACTAATTTTTTTTTAATTTTATTAATTTTTTATAGAACAAAGAGTTTGAAAAGAAAATTGAAGAGTTTAGTAGAAGAGGTTTATTGTCTCCATTAAGATCATCATCAGCAGGAACATCACAAAATGATTTATCAGGTTCAATCCCATCACCAAAATTTGGAGACTTGTCAAATACTACCATTACCAATACCAACAGTACATCAAGCACACCAAATAAATTATTTGACACAAGTGGATTATCGATTATGAGAAAAACTTATAGAAATTTAGTAGAAAAGAGAAGACAAACAGTAGCATTTAGAATTGTATCAAATATGGATGATGAAAGTGAAATATCAGTTAGAATTGCCGAGGAGGTCGATAAAATTCGTACATTAGATTCCGATAATCAAAGTATTGTTAAAATTGTTGCCGATTCATTACCAAACATTGTTCCAGGTGTGTTGATTAACAAGAGAGAAGAGTTGATCCCATTAATTTTAATTGTTATTTCGAATCATCCAGATGAAACCACACGTTTCTCATTAACCAAGTTATTATTCAATCTCATAAAGAAGCCAAACGAAGTTCAAAGACATGTTATAATGAGAGGCTGCATGGCATTAGCATCATTTATTGGTCCACAAAGAACAGAAACTGAAATTCTATCGCAATGTTGGGAACAATTATCCGAAAAGCATCCAGAACGTCGTGTACTAGTAGCAGATTCATGTGGTTGTTTATCTCAATTCGCAAGTGCTGATCTTAGATTAAGTTTAATTTTATCAATTCTTCAACAATTGGGCGAAGATAAGAGCAGTCTTGTAAGAGAATCCGTTGCAAAGAACTTTGCTTTATTGATTAACTTTTTCGATACAAACGACAAGTATAATCAAATTGAGGAATCTTTCAAAAAGTTATTATATGATCAAGAAATTGAAGTCTCCATTGCAACTCGTTTACACTTTTTACCATCACTAGCCAATTGGACAGATTTATTAGAGTCGTTGCATTCAAAATTAGTAGCCTTCATCCTTAATGAAATGCAAACAATTTTAAATAAATACTACAGCCAAAAAGATGAATATAAAATACCAGAACAAGATACTGTCAAATTGGATCATTTATTAAACTGCTTTATGGATTTAACACCAAGAATTTATCAATCAACTATTTCATCATCACCATTTATTTCGGAAAAAGATTCAAACCAAATCGAAAATGAATATAATAAACAAGAGGCATTATATCAATTCCAAATAAATCAAAATAATAATAATAATAATAGTAATAATAATAATAAAAATCAAAACAATAGTAATAATAATAATAACAACAATAATGAAGGTTCTTCAAATAGTAGCAATAGTCATAATAAAAATAATTCTAGTACAGTTATAACAAATTCAGCAATTAGAATTTCAATTTTAGGTCAAAATGAAATGGTTAAATTAAATTCCCAATTTGAAAATTATTTAGTATCAACTGTATCAAATGAAATAACTGGATGGTCTTCATTAGAGTGGATGTCAAATGATTTTATAAATAAGTTTATAAAGATTATATCATGCATTCCAATCAACAATAGTTTGGTTATTACAAGTTTCTCAAAGGCATTAAATTTATTCTGTAAAACATTTGGAACCGTTTTCACAAAGCGTGTTGTAAAGAATGCATTCAACCGTGAATTCCAAAAAGACCCAAGAACTGACAACACTAAAAAATATAGATTACTTTCAATTTATACAACTGGTGCATTACAAACATTAGAGTCCTCCGAATTAACATCTTTCCTCAAAGATTTAATCGTTCAAATTTCAATGGAAGAAAGAGGTTGGTCTAAAAATGATAAGCAATCTCTAGTAAAATGTATAGAGTTACTTTGTGGAAATGTTTTTGACAAAAAGAAAGATGTTGCCGAACTACTTTCAGATCTCACAGCCAATCCATCAAATCAAGTCAGATCAAATATATTAGAAATTTTAAATGCTATTATTCCATCCTTCAAGACGGATCAGATTGCCAACTCTGTTGTACCATCTTTAATCACATTAAGTACTGATCCAGACCGTCAAGTAAGATTCGACTGTTTAGGCACATTATCAATAGCAGTATCATATTTACTCGACGATAGCGTAATTGAAAGAGTAGCATTCTCCATCGATAGAATTTTAGATGATAAAAACCATTTGGTAGAGGTTAAATTTGTAAACTCTATGACTAAAATTATACCAACTGTCAAACCAAGATTCAGAGACTCTTTCATCGTACCAAGAATCATTGAATTGGCTCGTAAAAATAATCTAGATCCTTCAGGTCAACAAAGAAAATCAATGTCTCAAAGTTTATTCGATGCTATTAGAGCATATGTTTCAGTTACAAATGTTCCAAAAGAATTAATTCAAGAACAAATTTTACCAATGCTCAAGTTATTATTAAATGATGATTTAATCAGCTTACACGACCAAACATTTAAATCAATGATTCAATCTTTAATCAACGATTTAGAACAATCATTCAAAGAAGATTTTAAAAATTCAATTAGTAAAAGAAATATTGGTGGTTTTTTAACAGGTAATAATAATAACAGCAATAATTTATTAAATAAAATTGAAGCACCAAATTTAGGTTTACCAAAGTGGAGTTGGAAAAAAGATGGTGGAAAATAACAAATAAATCAATAAAAAAATAATAAATAAAAAGATTTTTTTACGAAAAAAATTAAATTGTAACATTTTGATTGATATTTTTTCAATCTTTTGGCTTTTTTTTAAAAAATTTTCAAAATGGTTTTTATTGGAAAAAAAAAAATATATTTCAATTTAATTTTTTTTAATTTTTTTAATTTTTTAAAAAAAAAAATTCACACACCCAAAATTATTTTTTTTCTCTCCTTTTTTTTTTTTCACTTTATAAAAATAAACACAAATAATTTAATAGTAATAGTAACGGAAGTAATAATAATAATTAACTAAAAAAATAAAAAAAATATAATTTAAATAAATCATGGATTATAGTGATACCAATGATTCTGAAGAAAACGGTTATATAGAAAATAGTAATGATATAGATAGAAATATTAAAGATGATATCAAAATTCTCACCCAAGATGATCATGTAAATACCGCCGGAAATATGGATACCGATGATAGAGAAAATGCCAGCAAACTTAATGAAGAGTATAACCAAAGTGACCAAGATATTGCCCAAGAAGATTATGTCCAAGAAGATGAATATAATCAAGAAGATGATGCCCAAGTTTCTCAAGATCAAAAAGAAGAAAGAGAAAATGGAGGTGAAGAAAATGGAGGTCAAGAGGAGGAGGAAAATGGAAATTTTGTAATTGAAAATGAAAATCAAGAAAATAATGCAATTCCCATAAATTATAACCAAGTGCCAACTTCCAGATTAATTCAAGCCCAAATAAATAATGAAATTGAAAATGCCAATTTAGTAAATTATGTTATTCAATATATCATAGAAAATACAAATAGAATTAATAATAATAATAATAATAATAATAATAATAATAATAATAATAATAATAACACTAACAATAATTATAATAGAAATATTAACAATATGAATAATAATAATAATAATAATAATAATATGAATAATTATAACACTAACAATAATTATAATAGAAATAATAATAGAAATATTAACAATATGAATAATAATAATAATAATAATAATAATCGTAATAGATATAATATAAATAACCAACTTCAAACCTTTCGAAGTTTACACAACGGCCAAGTAGAATCTCATTTCACTTAGAGAATTGGCTTACAAGATGAAGAACTGAAGAACAATATAATATCGATATACAAGTAATATCGTCAAGCAAGATTATCATTACAAGCAGATAAGCTATTAGATCATCAATAATTGAATTCTTATAATACTTAATGATTAAAGAGAATACACATCAGGCATTTGGAGAACTTAAAGCTTTTATATAATGGTCATTATGAAAAGAGACTTAGATTTGATGAGCGTACAAATCACCCCAGGCGACCCAAATTTTATTAGTGTTGATATATATGATACTGAAATTACTCATTATTACAGAGATATAAACAACAACAACAACAACAACAATAATAATAATAATAATAATAATAATAATAATAATAATAATAATAATAATAATAATAATAATAATAATAATAATAATAATAATAATAATAACAATAATGGTAATGGAGATAATAATCGTAATAACAACAGTAATTTAAGAAATACAACAACTACAACCACTAATGATTACAAAAGATTCAAAACCGATAACGATGATGTAAGTTGTTATATCTTTAAATATAGTTTTTATTAAAAATTAACTTTAACACCAAATTTATTTATACCAGCCCCAATATAGTAGCCCAGAATCATCAACACCAGGTACACCTTCTGAAATTGATTCAAAGAAACGTAAACTTAACAAATTTGAAACAAAAGATGAAGAAGAAGAAGAGATTGATGATGAGGAAATTAGTGGCAGCTGCGATATTATTTTGGCAATGGAAAGGAGTAGAAATAACAATAACAATAATAAACCTCCAACCACTACAACTACAACCACTACAACATCAACTGCAAATTATGGCAACAGCAATAATGAAAATAGTGGTATTTTTACCGGCAATAGATCTAATAATTTTTTAAGTAGTATTGATTCAAATTCATCAATTGATATCGGTGACTCCAGTTCTTATACAGAAAGGGAAATCCAATTTTTAAAAAAGTTAAAAAAAACATCAAAAATAGCCGAGGGAAAACAAAAGGAGCTAGAGTTTAGAGTTGAATTACAAAAAACTATAGATAGTTTAAATGAATCATTAACAAAAAGCAACATCGAAAAAGAAGGGAAGATTACAAAACTAAATCAAACAATCCTCAATAATAACATTCAAATTGATCAATTAAAATCAAATTTAGAAGATTATGAAAAATCAAAAATCAATTATGATCAAGCTATAGAAGAAAAAGATCATATTATAGAATCTTCAAAAATAGAGCATCAATTACTTTTGGAGAAAGCAAACCAACTTGAATCAAGATACTCTGAATCTGAAAAAGAAAAGGAAAAATCTCTCTCTGACCATCAAGAAAAAGATTTGAAATACAAAGAATCACTTCAAATCTTACAAGATCAAAACCATAAAATTGGAGATGAAAATCAATCCTATTTAAATAAGATTAAAGAATTGGAAGATAATATCAAAACTTTAAAAGAAAGTATTAATTGCAATAACAATAACAATAACAATAACAATAACAATAACAATAACAATAACAATAACAATAACAATAACAATAATAATAATGGCAATAAAATTACTAGTCCACTTAAAGTTACCATCCCCAACCCTCCTCCAGTTAGCAATAAAAGTATTAGCCCCTTAAAACCCAGTTTATATAATAATACTGTAAATAATAATAACAATACATCAGTTAATAGTAATAATAATAATATGATTTCTAAACCAAATATAAGTAATTATTTACCAAATACAAATATAATTAATAAACCTATTATAAATACTCCACATACTACTCCAACTAAAAGCACTGGCATTCAAATTAGTAAACCCGTTAGACCCCCATCTATAAACCCAAATTCCTTGGTATTCAATCCTCAACCAAAAAATATGAATAATAAGATATGTAATAATAATAATAATAATAATAATAATAATAATAATAATAATAATAGTAATGGTATAAATAACAGTAAATATATATTACCACCATCACCAAAAATTATTTATGAAGATGACGTGGATATCGATTTCGAAATGGATTTCGATATGGGTTTTGATTATCAAGATTATGATATAGATACCACTGTGAAGCTTCCTCCATCACTTTTACAGACACAAATTAAAGTTTGCTTAACCGGTTTTGATCCAAAACAAAAAGAATTAAAAATAGTTACTAAAATTATTGAAGAGTTGGGAGGTATAGTGCAATATGTCGACTTTGATAAAGATATTACACATGTAGTTACAAATCAAGAATCTCCAACAATGAAAACTCTTTCTGGCGTTTTAACCCATAAATGGGTTGTATCATCTCATTGGGTTTACCAATCTAAAAGACACAACATGTTTGTTGAAGAAACAACTTTTGGAAGTATGTATTTAGAGAAGCCATTCTTCAGAAATAAAAGTGTTTATTTATCTAAATCTTTTATTTCTGAACAAATGGATAATGGATCAACAGCAAAAATAATCATTGAAACGGTAAATATTAAAAAAAAAAAATAAAACAATAATAATTTTTACTAATTTTAGATTTTACAATTATAGATAGGCAAGGGTATTATTACAACAAATCCAATCGCAGCCGATTATGTTTTAGTTGCAGAAACTGAGTTTGTTGGGGTAAATGAAACAAAAAGAAAAAAAACTTGGGTGCAATTCTTGAGCTTCATCCCAACACCAAATACTGTTTTTGTTCAAAATAAAAATAAAAATAAAAATACCAATACCAATACCAATACCAATACCAATACCAATACCAATACCAACTCAAATATAAATACAAACTCAAATATATTTTCAAACACATTGAAAAATAAAAACAAATTCACATATTTTTTAAAAAAATAAAATTATTAGAC